TTTGCAGTGGTTTTTTTGGTTGACATTATTGATGTATTATTCTCTCTCTTAGTTTGTTTTATTTTCCTGCTTCTAGAGCTTGCTTTGCTAGCAATAAGCATTGTCTTCTGCTATGGGTTCTATTTTCTCTCTAGTTATGGTGTTCTCCATTACACATTTCAGATATCTCTGATAGAGCAAGATTTTGGCATATTTAAAAAGGCACATAAAGACACAGTTAGACGCACCATTTGTCATGCACCATTTCGACGTCTATACAGTCGACCGATTTTCAACATATTTCAAGACATGGAAATAGTGACTTATGATTTTGGTGAAATAAATGGACAGCTGGTGACACAGGATGGGATTAATAGCTACAATCGTTACTATGTACACTATGGTGACTAAAAAGAGACTCAACATGTGTATACAATTACACATCACATGATATTATACAATTGCATGCAGTGGTAGCCTACACATTCATTTATTAGTTAATAGTGTATAACTGTTTACTGTTTAGTAGTATTACTGTTATTTCATTTAGTAAAGAGATACAACATAATGTACATAATATGAAGCAATAGATAGAATAAAAGAAACATTAATTCATTACAAAAAGCAGATCTCAGTAATGAGCTCATGATTATACTGGTATTGTATTACTGTCATCAAAATTCATCATAACTTAAAAGGTTGCAGCTCAAACCTTCTACATCAGCATAAGGACAACGGTCGATGCATATCAGAAAATGTAACAAAATTTTTTGAAGCATGTATGGACTATTTTTTCAGAAACTGGCATGTTCTTTAAAGTTCCCCATATAAATAGATTAAAACTGAAAGTTACTTACTATAATACTGTTACAGTTTAGTTTAGAAAAACAAGCTACCCGCACCAGTGTTACACAAACTGATACTGCCTTTGTTTACAATCAACTAATTTGTATAAACAAAGACATAACGCTAGCCCAAAATAAACAACAAAGTAGACCCATTATACTAATGACAATAGCTTTCACTAAAATGGTATACTTATGCATCATAAGTATTATGACCATATCCCATGTAATGGTACAATACAAAACTTAGTATACTATACTTTATGTAGGTACTAGGTAGAGTAATTATTGTGTCCTAACTCCTAATACATGTATAAGGACTACTCTGGCTAAAATATAAACCCATCAACCACTCATACAATGGAATGTCTTAATTTTGAACAGAATGACACTGCACTACCTACAAAGGGTGTTATAGTTCTTGAAGCTGAGGATGCAGTCAAGTAAACAAACTAAGATTCTTTTTCATTCTCTTCCACTGCTATCACTCCCCCATCATGGCCTCCTTCCATTATATTTCATTCATCTCTCATTTACTTTTAGGATTATAATGATATCAGTAAAATAACACAAAGAGTTTATTATGAGACAAAATTAAGAAATGGATGAGAATTGATACACCATGAGCAACAATGCATAGAAACATGTGTTGAGTGTGTGTGTGTGCCGATGTGTAGTACATGTCTTCAATCAGCCTCTTTAAAAATCTACAGCAAATAAATAAAATTAAAATAGTAGTATATCTCTTCGTCTCTTCTATTGCACAACAACATTAACATGTGAAAACAAACATCAGAAATATTAACAATATACATGTACATGTACAATGTAAATAAATACATGCAGATATAATGCATGTACATGTGAATGCGCTGCTTGTATAAAAAGCATTGTACTTGCATTATGGATACAAGGTTAGGTTACAATTAGCCCTTCACTATTATGCCATTATTGAAAGGAGGAAAGCGTTTGCATTCTCAACTGTATGCTATCATAACAAAGGCCAACTGTATAAACTATCAGTTCCTGTTTGGAAGGTGTACACAACTAAACCATTGTTTACAATATACACAACTACACCTGCTCTCCTCTCTCAGTTTCACAATGCATTCAATACAATATCAAGATAATGCATGGTGACTGTAGGACTAACTCACAGTGTATTGTGTACACCATTACAGGGAGTACAACAGGTTTATTACTACCTGTACCTGTTAGTTTAACCTTCTTTTAGTTCTCTCATTTTTTACAAGTCAATTTACAATACAATGTTAAACCAGCATTAGTTAGCATCAAAGTCAATAAAGCATTGTACATGTACATATGTACATTACCTCCATTAAATTCCGAGGGCCTCCGTTAACAAATCCTCTGTCTGAATGTACTCTCCTCATTGCTCTGTCAGCTCTTGGGAATGTTGCTGGACTACTTGTCAGTAATGGTGAACCAGGTCTAAATAATAATAATAATAATAACATCAGTCTAACTGTCACTTAAGAAAACAAGTCATTCTATTCAAAATTAATGTCTGAATGGTGCATATTTTGAACACTGTCACAATCATTTACATACTGGTCTTACAAACAAGGTGTAGCTACATGTACATGTATAAACATACTTTAAAGGCGTGGCCTCGTCTGCTGATGAGTCATCAAGATGGAGTGGAATAGGTGAACCAGAATAAACCGGATACTGATGACATATAGGACTATGACTGGAATGAGAGAGAGAGGGGGGAAGAAAAGGAACAGAGGGATCATACATAATTTTATCAGTGTTGATATGACATAAATGTACATTTAGAATGCTTCCAATCCATCAATATTTTCAACACATACAGTGTACAGTACATGTACATGTACATAAAGTATAACTTACTTAGTCCATGAGCCGTTGTGTTGACTGATTGATTGTTGCAATAAACTCATTCTAATATCTTCATCTTCAGAATCTAAAATACAATTAGAATATTTATTAATAAAAACTGCACCCACTCCTTACCTGATAGTGGTTCTCCCAGTGATTGTGGCTTGCCTAAAGTGGGTGGGGTCTCTGGTCTCATAGGGGAGTGGGATAATCTCAAGAGGTTCAATAAGATGACAAAGAACCTTAGAATCCACTGGAACACTCGAGAAAATAAAGGTACCTAGTTATAAAATGATAATTACATGTTGTTGAGTTGCATAGACAAATTTGAGCTGATTCTGAAAATACATATACACGTACATGTACTCATGTTGTGTATTAAATTTGAGCTGATTCTGATCACAATTGAATTTTTCATGAATTTTTAAAGTTGCTCCAAAATCGGGCCAAAGTCCCTGTACTATAGTACAGGGTTCTTGGTCAAATTTCGCCAAAAATCAAAAGAAGAGAATTCTCCATTTTATATTTTTTTTCTGATACATATACATGTACTTATGTTGTGTATCAAATTTGAGCTGATTCCAATCACAATTTAATTTTTCATGAATTTTTAAAGTTGCTCCAAAACCGGGCCAAAGTCCCTGTACTACAGTACAGGGCTCTTGGTCAAAATTCGTCAAAAATAAAAAGGAGAGAATTCTCCATTTTTATAAGTTTTTCTGATACATATACATGTACTTATGTTATATATCAAATTTGAGCTGATTCCGATCACAATTTAATTTTTCATGAATTTTTAAAGTTGCTCCAAAACAGGGCCAAAGTCCCTGTACTATAGTACAGGGTTCTTGGTCAAATTTTGCCAAAAATGAAAGGGAGAAAATTCTCCATTTTAATAATATTTTCTGATATATATACATGTACTAATGTCGTGTAGAAACTTTGAGCAGATTCATATCAAAATTGGACTTCAATTTTTTTAAAAGTTGCTCCAAAACCGGGACAAAGTCCCTGTACTAGTACAGGGTTGTTGGCCAAAATTTCGCCAAAAAATGACTAAGACAGAATTCTCCATTTTTATATTCTTTTCTGATACATATACATGTACATGTACTTAAGTTGTGTATAGAAACTTTGAGGTGATTCCGATCAAAATTAATTTTTTACAAAATTTTATAAAAAGTTGCTTCAAAAGCCAAGCATGCTTCTAGCTCACTTCATCAGCTGTGGCTTATGGGAACTCCACATGTACTAGAAATGAATGTACAACTGTACAGTGCACAGTGTATAAGTGATTGAAGGGGCTGGCTTGCAATCTACATGTACATGTATGTGCTATTGTGACTGTACATTGCATTTCATGAATTTAGAGGTAAACTTCTTTGTACATGTACACATGTACAATGTAAATAGACTCATTCCTGAGGGTTACTGTATAGCTCCAAATTTTCGACAAATTCATCAGGTACTTTTGCTTGATGAAATTTTTAACTGACAAAATTTTTGTTCCACGTGGGTAGTATGTAGATTAATAACAAAAATGACGAAAATCAATTTTGACAAGAAATTCAGATTTTGACAAAATTTTTGACTGACAAAAATTTGGAGCTATACGGTAATTCAATCCCAGTTACAAGTATTTAAAAAGCTTTGGGTGATTTACATGATTATTCTATCCATTAGCCCCACACAAAATAACATATTATATAAATATACAGATAACTGACTATTTTATTCTTTAGTTTGACAGCTGGTTCAAACAGCTGCATCCTTCTCAGCTTACGATGTCCTAATATTTGATTAACACAAGGTCTTGACTGAGGATTATGACTCATCATACTGGTTAAGAGAGAGAGGAGGTCAGGGGACAAATCTACAAAACAAACAAAATATATGTAATATACATGTGGCCTCTTTCACCTCCCTCTCTCCCTCCCTCTCACTTCCCTCCTTCCCTCTCTCTCCCTCTTATGTCTCCAACTTTTAATAAAATCCTCAGGCAGCTCTCCTCTTCCCTCCCTCCCTCTCTCCTCTTCCCTCCCTCTCTCTCCTCTTCCCTCCCCCTCTCTCCCTCCCTCCTTCCCTCCCTCTCTCTCCCTCTTATGTCTCCAACTTTTAATAAAATCCTCAGGCAGCTCTCCTCTTCTCAGCATATGCCATGACTCTCCATTTGATGGTAGTTGTAGGTCACAAGCTACCTCAAGCATACTGATACCTAGACTGAACACATCAGCCCCTGGACTGAACCTTCCCTCCATTAGTTCTGGTGCCATGTAGCAAGCATCACCTTCAGAAGCTCCTTCAAAATCTAATCAATAATATGATAATTATAATTATTAATTAATTAATTGATATGAATGAACTGTGCTTGTCAGTCCTATATCTCCCCATTGTCTTACTCCACTATCATCATCATCATGTGAAATTTTATCACTCTTTCTATCTCTTCCACTATACATTTACTACAAACTGTTATAATGATTATTATATTAATAAAATAATTTGTGATCTAAAATGCTAGTTTGTCAGTATAACATATATATGTACATATATTAGATTAAAAGTTGTGTTTATATTCTCCTTCATTTTTCATTTCCTCCATTGCATGATTTAGGACCCCATTCCATGATCATAACTTCCTCTATCTCTACCACATTTTGGAGGTTAATGTTTGGAAGGTACAAAAATACATACTACCATGACACTACATTAAAAAAGCTACTCATTCTCATATCTCAATTCTCGTATTTCCATTCTCACGTTTCAGATCCCTTTAATCTCATCCTCCTTTATTCCCCGTACCTGTATCCATTGATGAGACCAGCCCAAAGTCTCCTAGTTTCCATGTTGTTCCCGACTGAGACAGGAATATGTTGTCTGGCTTGATGTCAAGGTGACACAGCCTATTGTCATGAAGGTGTTTGAGCCCCTAAACATGAAGAGCAACACATGTGCTGATAACCTGAACTCTTGATCTACACAGACAATACATGAAGAATGTGGTACAGTAAAACCTGCTATTGTGGACACTCTAAAATAAGGACACCTCTATAATGAGGACAGGTAGTATCAGTCCCAATACAATATAAATGTGTATTATAATGAACCTCTGAAATAAGGACAGTTTTAATTGGTCCCAAGGTGTCCGGAATAGACAGGTTTGACTGTATTGCTAATGTACATGTACACATTATCTATAGTGTGTCAGCTATTGTGTACATGTATTAATGACTCTATCACTTGTGGTTCATTCCTTCATTTATTAGAGTCTGGATTATTTATAATTACAGCCACATTATAATAATCAGATAAATGTCCCAAAAGCTGAAAGACAAACAATAACACCACCTGAACACACTCACATGTATTAACAGCTGCTACTATCAAATGATTAATTATCAAGCTAGTACCAACACTGTATGTATTATTATCAATATTCAATCAATGTACATGTACATAATGTAGACTAATGGCTGTTGATACCTTTCCTATGTCCATTAATATTCTCCATACAGTTCTCTCAGGTAGTCTTCCATGAGCATCACAATATTGTGAGAGGCTATACATACAAATAAAAATACAATAACAATAATTATTAATTAATATTATTGATAGTACATAATATCTAGAATTCATCTAGAGCATTCAATTATGCCACTTGTAACTACCGTATAGCTAGAAATTTCTGTAGCCCCAAAATTTCTCTTAATTTTGTAGATTTGGAAAATTTTTGTAGAAATTTAATCCTTACAATTTTGGTACATATATTTAAATTAAAAGACATGGTGAATTCATAAAAATAAAATCTGCAAAAGCCAACTTGTAGAAATCTTGGGTCACAGAAATTTCTAGCAACACGATATACTATTCATAATGATGATAACAATATTCATATTCATTCATTAGGGAATAAGTTAATAAAAGAATATCCCATGCTGAGATAAATATCATATTACCATAAAAGGGATTGGAATTCAAAAGGGAATGCTGTCAACATAATATTGAATATCATACATGTACATGTGTACATGTACATGTGCATTATGAGATTTTCTAGTAATGCATGATGTCAAGGAAGGTCCCACATTAAACACCAATTCATAATATTGATGATAAAATAATTCATACTGTATCTGCATGATGGGAGGAGGGACTATTGTGAATGACAAGTTGACAAAAAGACATCATCACATACCCAGCAATGATTATCATATACATAATGTGTGTACATGTACTCATGTATAACTTGAAACAGTATAGCTACTGTATAGCAGGAAAAACTGTTATTAAAGTGAAGTACAAGCCCATTTAGGATGTTGTTAGCTCCGTTCTACTGTCACGCTACTATCAAGCTATTGTCCTTCTACTATCACATTAAGTATGTGCAGCGAAGGAGCAACAAACTACCCACGCAAAAGTAGAGTAACTGCAGAGTAGCTACTTAGCCTTTTTTGATATGTACTTACTCTATATTGAATAAGTTTATTTTGTAAAAAGTTTGTGTCTAATAGAATCATGTATACATTCACATAGCGGAGAGGGTGGCTCAAGCAAGTTATACATCAACCAACAGTCGTTATGTGTTACCTCATTGAGCAGAGTTCAGTTTGTATGTACAGGTGCAAGTTCTCTTCCCACGCTTTATAGAACCGGATACAGTTTGGATGAGGAGGGAGGCACTCGTGTTTCTCTACCTCGTCTAATTTCTTTCTCCTAATGAAAAAAAAAACAGAGACATATAGCATCAAAATTATACCACAAACACAGTAAAATTAATGTCGTACTTCACACAAAAACATGAATATAAATTATTAGCGGCTAGGTAGGAGTAAAATAGTGGAGAAATACTACAAACGACAAGTGCTACCATCACATCTGTTCCTATATGTATCAAATTAACAGAGCAATGTGAAAATAATTGCTTCCTCTTAAATTTCCCATAGTACACACCACACATACATTTACATGATGATGTACATGTACATACAGTGTAAGGGCTCACTCGTGGTTTCCCACAACTTCTTGTTAGTGGATTGTCAAGCTACCCTGCTATAACAGGGTAATTAATCTGACAAAAATCACGAGAGAATTCTTCACTTTTATAATTTTTTTCTAATACATATACATGCCCTTATGTTATGTTGTTCATCAACTTAGAGCTGATACCAATCAAAATTAGATTTTTTATAAATTTTCAAAGTTGCTCCAAATGCCAAGTACAATTTACTGTATCACAGGACTTGTCAGCTCATGAAGTTAACACTAGCTCAGTTACAGCTAGTGTAGCATGCTTTGTGGGAAATAAAATAATAATCAAACTAAATCAATAAGTTGTGAGAGTTTTAAAAAAACTACATGTATATACAGTGCCTATCACTATTCCAAAAATGGACTTCAAAAGCTTGAAACTTGATCACGACTACATGCAGCTGTACTGCACATGTACATGTACTTTGCCATTTTTATAATGACAACAAAAAGTTTCTTTTATGTTTATGCATGAATTTAGTTTTAAATATAGGCTGCCTCAAAGTAATGAATAACATCCCAAAATAAAAATAAATTACCTTAAAATGAATATCAAAATGAAATAACATATGTCACATGAGTCCCCATTACATCACACATGTTGCATGCATTAGCCCCGCCTCCTCCATACAGCATATAGTACACCTACCTATCCCAGCTGCCGGTAAAACGTTGTCTTGATCTCTTAATAGCATACAGCTGACCATCCTCTCTACTCTTCACTTGAAACACTTCACCAAATGAACCCTCTCCTATCTTCTTGATAATCTCAAAACCCTAAACAACAACAAGCATTCATTCATTGTGTGCTTTATTTTTAATAACACTATATTAAATAACAAGTACTAAATACTGAATTTTAACTCTTGGTCAATTTGCAGATACTAATAAAAGATGCAAATCATACTCATAAAGTTGATAATAAGTTATAAATAAAACAAGCTAAAACATTTAAACATTAACAAAGAAACAATAGAAACCTTCCAAGCTAATTACTCTTCCTTATTACCTTTTCCAATTAGGATATCCTTTTTACAATTTAAACATGCGTACATGTACATGTACATTAAATTTATAATACGATAATTACCTGTTCAAAATATGGCTCTTGAGAATCAGTGCTGTAACGTAGCCCTGAGATTGCTATAGGGAAAAGAGAGGGAAGGAGAGAAGGGAACAGATAATGGTGTAAATGTAATTAAAAATAATAACAAGCTATTAATTAGAGTATTAATTATACAATTTCAATTAATTAATTAAGTTATGCAGCCACATGTTGCATTTAGTCCAGTTGCTGTTTGTAGGGAACTCACGTTCATTAATGGAATCTGAGGCGAAGCTAATAGTGTGGGGTCCATCAGAGGCTACAGCGCTAGTGAATACTCTACTGAGAGGAGGGCAGCTCTTAGCGGGGGCTTTAGGAGGGGCTTTAAATGGAGTCTTTCTCCTCTGACTGAAATATGGTTCTGGTTGGAAGAAAGGGGTCGGTCGAGGGCTGTGTAAGTGTACATCCGTCATGAGGGAAGGGAAAGAGAGAGGGAGAACGGCCTTGGAGTTTGAAGAGAGTGATATTATGGTTCCCGCCAAAACCGCGGGATCTTGTGGGCGTGTCAGGCAGAGCAAAGTGGGTGCGGTCTTGGTAATCTCCCGCCCTTAAATAAACATGGATCCCGGAGTGAGACTTCACACTAAAGGCAGACACGTCTGTGGCAGGAATGCAGAAGTGGATGGGGACATATTCAAGTACAAGGGGCCGGCAGCAAACCTTGTAGGGGTAGTCAAGATAGCAGAGCCAATGTCACCAATGTTTAACTACTTTGAATATGAGATAATCGATAAAGGACAAGACACAGCCATTGGCATAGGACTGGGTGAGTACAAGTATCCCCTCGACCGTATGCCCGGTTGGAACCGCTCGGCCATTGGTTATCACGCGGACGATGGTCGCCTCTTTCATGAGAGTGGGTATGGCGAAGCATTTGGTCCACTCTGCACCCAGGGGGACAGAATGGGGTGTGGCATTCATTTCGACCCTGATCTTGATTCGGGATATGTGTACGTATTCTTTACAAAGAATGGGTCTCAGATAAAGGAACCCGTTAAAATGAAACGACCTCTCTATGGTTTCTACCCTCTCGTTGGTTTACATAGTGTAGGGGAGAAGGTCCGGTACTTAGGCCACTGGAGGCGTGTACCTAATAGAATACAGGAACCAATGGAAACTGAACTGTCCCCTCGGACCTACTGGCTGCGGTCTAACGGTATCCGGTATGTTGACGATGGATTGACGCTAGAGTATGATGGCGATGGTCTTAACAGACAAGACGTGGGTATAGCCCAGGCTTTGTTTCCGCTCTCGTCCATGAATCATTATTTTGAGCTTGAGATCCTTGACTCTGGTCAGAATGGATGGATTGCTATAGGACTAGGCAAATCAACCTATTCATTGACAAAGCACCCGGGCTGGTGCGAGGGATCTGTTGGTTATCATGCGGACAACGGGCACCTTTACAAGGAGAAAGGTCAAGGTGATCCCTTTGGTCCCCTTTGCTCAGCTGGTGACATAATGGGGTGTGGCGTTAGATTCAACGAAGGTATTATTACTACGACTTTTAGTGAAATTGATAGCGACAGAGAAGAGGAGGAGGAGGAGGAAGAACCTATTGACAGCAATTTTATGTTTGAGATGGGCGAAGATGATGACTATTATGATGAATTTGATATTGATCCTTCTTTTCTTGGAGGGTTTGAAGCCGGCTTCCGTAGAAGGATTCTCCCTAGATTGAATCCAGGATATAAGAAGCAATTAAGTGGAGCTGCCAAGTCTGGCCGAGACAAAGATGGTGGAGTGTCTGAGAAAAGAACTTGTACTGTTTATTTTACAAGGAATGGCGAACTTGTTGGAGAAACCGAGTGTACTATACCTAATGGAGGATTCTACCCTCTTGTTGCTATGCTAAGTGAAGGAGAAAGGATTCGTGTTAACTTTTGTCCACTGACAGGATGAAAAGAGCCTTCTTACAATTATATTGTTATTATTGTTATCATTATTATTATTATTGTCATGGTTGCATTTTTAATGATAATAACACATACTTATTAGTTTGTCATGCAAATATCTATATCCCATGGTTTTAATGAGTTGATTGGTATTTTATGTAAACTACTGAGTACCAAATATATTTCTCCAGACATGCACTAAAATAGCAGCATCATCAGCACTAATGGCCAATTATGCTAAAGATTTGTGATGTAAAATTTTTATGCAAAGTCATTTTATTCATTTCGCATGCACTTTTTGCAGCATTTGATTAGGGATCAAATATCATGTGATATCATAAAAATAATTCATTCATTGCCAGTTATGGTTGCAATTGATCATGGGACTCTGCATGAATCTCTTCTCATCTGACAGTACTGCATTTTGACGCTAACGCTGAGCTTATTTTTTCATTTGTACAGTTTTAGAGAAGTCGACAGAAAGATGCTTTACGCAAAAGTATCCCTTCTTTTTCTTGCTGCCTTTGCCCTGTTTTGCTGTTTCGCTCCAACTGCAGATGCTGGTGGAACGTAAGAATTTTTTTTTTAATTTTTGACCAGGCGCAAAAAATCTATAGCCCGGCCGACTCATTTTTGCTTTTTATGTAGGTGTTACTATTCAGTGTCCCACATAGGATCTTACAGGAGATACTACAGGACGTACTATAGATCTCCTCGCTATTACTACTATCGCTGTGGCTGGTGGGGCTGGAGAAGATGTCGCGCCACCTACTATGTGTAAGCTATTTAGGCTAATGTGCATTAATTTTCACTTGAATGTAGATTGCTGCAAGTCATAAATTTATATTATGTATAATAATTATTATTGTTTGCAGGAATATCTATTACACATATTCGACTGTCAATTATCGGATTCAGTACCATTCTCAAGGTTATTGTTGTTCAGGATATTCTGGATCAAATTGCGACCGTATGTAAAATTTAATGTACAATAACCATTAGATCTTGTGTCTTAATTCTTATAGCAATTTGTTACAATTCTTGCAATCGCTGTACAGGGTGCCTTGCACCTTACCGATGTCAGTGTCAAGCTGGTTATACAGGAAGCACTTGTTGCAGTGGTGAGTTTATTTTATTATATTATTTTGCAATACAAGAGACTAAATGGCATTATAAATGTAGTTGGACTTATAATTCAATGTAGACTAAGCCACTCCATTTTTAACCTTCTTTCTTTCCATTACTCCAGACTATAATGAATGTAATGTGAAGAATGGTGGGTGTGAACAGAACTGTCACAATACAGTTGGTAGCTTCTACTGCAGTTGTCGATCTGGTTATTCTATTAGCTCCGATAATCTTCATTGTACTGGTAAGTTATAAAAATTAAAATAGAGATGTGCATGGGAATATGCATCCATTATATAGATATCAATGAGTGTAATTCTAACAATGGTGGTTGCAGTCAGCACTGCCACAATACACATGGTGGGTACTCGTGTTCTTGTGATTCTGGTTATTCTCTAGCTGGTGGACAGACATGTGTCGGTATGCTTATTTTTAAAAATGAGATATGATTTGATTATTGTTTTTTCTATTGTATGCAGACATCAATGAGTGTAATACTAATAATGGTGGGTGCGATCAGAACTGCATCAACCAGCCAGGAACATATCACTGCACTTGTAACACTGGCTACACACTCAGCTCAAACTTGCACAGTTGTGTAGGTGAGTCACGTTACATGCATTTGCTGATATTGCATCACTTGATTTTTGTGGACACACACAGATGATAATGAATGTAATAATGGAGTGGCTAATTGTAATCATTACTGCTTCAACACTGATGGCTCATACCTATGTTATTGCCAATCTGGCTATGAGCTAGCAGCTCAAGGTGACTCAGATACTTGTGTTGGTAAGTGTGCCAATAACTCCTTATATGGTGATCACATAAATGCACTTTATAGACACTCAGGAATGCAACAACAACAATGGAGGATGCGATCAGAACTGTTTCAATACTATTGGTAGCTACTACTGTACCTGCAATAATGGATATAACCTTACAGCTGATGGACACTCTTGTATTGGTATGGAAAATCTATACTCTCTCTCTCTCTTTTAAATATTTCTATACATCAGATTTTAATGAGTGTACCAATGATGCTCATCTCTGTGAACACCACTGCTACAATAATGTTGGTAGCTATACTTGTGACTGTATGATTGGCTACAGTCTTGATCCTAATGGCTATGATTGTCACGGTAAGAATGAAAATTTTTGTCACTACTTCACTTGAAAATTAAGAGTTTACCAAGCAATAACATAAGTTTAATACTTGTATTTTTTTAAATTCTAACAAATAAATTCACTTATTCATGAAAATTTGAACTCTCTAAAATTACTTAGTGTATATTTGTATCTATTTATAGATATCAACGAGTGTTTGACTAACAATGGGGGATGTGAAGAGATATGTACCAACACTAATGGATCCTATGTCTGTTCCTGTAATATTGGGCATCTCCTTGATGAGGATCTTCATGGCTGCTCTGATCACGATGAGTGTGCTACTAATGCTCACGACTGTGATGAGACTAATGGTATCTGTCACAACACTCATGGCAGCTTTTACTGTACATGTGAGATTGGATACAGGCTTGATGCTGATAACAGGACATGCAATGGTAAGCACTATTAATTATATCATTTTGGGCCTTTCATGCTGATAGAAGTAATGCACATTGAAGCAAAAAGGCCTTTAGTACATTCAAACTAATTTTAATTGTGTTATTTTTAAACATGTACAGTACTATATGCATCAGTGAATTAATAATGATGCCAAATTCTCTCCTAACCATTATAATTATTATTGTTTTCTATCACAGATATCAATGAATGTGCTGAGCACTCATCAGGCTGTACTCAAGTCTGTAATAATGACATTGGTAGCTACCACTGCACATGCTACACTGGCTTTGAACTAACTGCTGACAATCACAACTGTACTGGTAAGGGAATACAATGTATCTTTTACTTATTTAATAAATTCGTCATTATTCAGATATCAATGAGTGTACACTTAATACTGATGGTTGTGAGAGGTACTGTCACAATCTCATTGGAAGCTACTACTGCTCATGTCAAATCGGGTATCAAGTTGCTGCTGATTCTCACTCTTGTGTCGGTAAGAAGACCTCCCATTATTTATTGCACATCCATCAAACAGCTAAAATGTAGATTCTAATAGATCTAATTTGTACAGGATATAGCTCTCACACATAAAAATGAAAACAATTTTTTGGAGTATATATTTAATATTCCTTCACTTCTACACCACTATAGGTCAGCCCTGCATACCACAGCTACCAGCTCCAGCCAATGGTCAGATCAACTGCACTGGTGACCAAATCACCAATGAGAACTGCACCTTCTCTTGTTCTCCTGGCTATCAGCTGATGGGATCCAGAGAGCGTCAGTGTCAACTCACCAATGAATGGACAGGAGTCCATGCTTACTGTCAAGTATTGAGTTGTCCTCCATTAGAGGCAACAGCGAATGCTTATATCTACACTAAAGCATGCTCTAGTGATTTTGGGTCCTCCTGTGAGATACGTTGCAATGATGGGTATTACATTAACGGGACCACTCCCTACTATCAGAGGTGTCTTGTCAATGAGGCCACTAACACTGTTTACTGGAGCCCATCACCTGTCTGTCAATGTAAGCAAAAAGCTAAAATTAATACATAGTTTTGTAAAGGCATTAGCATGCACATATTTAGGATCATTTTTATGTTTTTTTTGTGAGCATTATCATGCATCAGTTTATGACTGAACACATTATCATTTCACCACATACTTTCTAGGTTGTATTCTGTACTATACAATTTTTATACTTTCATGTACATCCATTATATTATTTATTCCTATAATTAGATGTTCCACCTTGCCTCTCCAATCCTTGTCAAAATGACGGAGTCTGTCACGAGGCCAATCCTCTTAAGTACTACTGTGATTGTTCTGGTACATACCACACTGGTAGTGATTGTGAGATCGGTTACATTGATATCCCCAACCTACCGATCATAAATATCAACACTCCATATCCTTTCGTCATCTCAGCTAAACCGGATGCCAACCTTGCTGTCAGTATCTCCTCTTCCATATCTACTCTTAGCTTCTCTGACTCTCAGATCTTGTTCAACTCCTCCTATCAGTCACACACACTGACAATCTCAGCCTCCACTGCTGGACTGTATGTACTTCAGTTCTCTATCTCTGGACCAGCTGCCTCTACCTTCCAAACACCATCTCCCATACTTGTCATTGTTACTGATTCATCTGCTTCTCATACACCTAACAATTACTTTACAACCGTTAATCAGCCCGTGGGTCAGTTAGCTCCTGGTTGCTGTAGTCCAGGTGGTCAGCTCTACCAGTGCCCTTACTCCACTAACACTGTCACCTTCCAGTCCAGCTGTGGTTGGACCATTGACGACGAGGGTAACCATGAGACTCGTGGCATTGTCTTCACGACTGGCAACGGAGTCTCTCTACCATTCTCCATTGCTGGTATAGAGCTTGCATTTGATGGCTACAATGTAGTGTACAGTCTTCCTGATGACAGCACTTCATGTGGCAGCTGTGCCTCTACTGGCTCCTCCTGCTATCAATACGACATGACCTCGGCCGATCTTGTAGACCTCCTCTCCTCAAACTCAATAGCTAAGACCTATCTCTCTGGAGCAGCCAATCTCATTCCTTCGTGGATCAGTTTCTCAGTTGGCGATGCCAATATCACTGGCCAGTCATTCTCTCTCTCTGAATACACTGTCTATGTTAGTACTGGGGCTAATGCATACCTCATTCCTGGTTGCTCTTCCCTTGGTCTTGATCCCAATGGACTCTACTCTGTATTCAGTTACAGGGATCCCATTACGATGGTCGTTAACAGTCAAACCAAGTCCTATAACTCCGGTCCTCCGGTTTGTTTTGCTATTGATATTTGTCAAGGAGCCGACTCGTCAGTTCATGTCACTATACCAAATGAAGCTCAGTCACAAATACTCTCTCTCAGTCAATTCCAGGTACAATATAAAATTAATAATAAAAGTACTCAAAAAATTGCTTCAAAAATATCCTATGTCAATAGATGTACATGTACTAATGTTTTTAAATTTTGAATTGATTCCGATCAAAATTGAATTTTTTACAAAAATATTTAATTAGCCATAATAGTATTACTTTTATAGAGCATTCTCTATTATTTGTCTCTCTATATAGACATACATCAGTAATGGATGGCAGTTCACATTGAGAGAGGCTGAAGTTAAAGATGGAGGTGTACCACCTCCTTCAGATCTTCCCACTGATTACTGGGTAGATGGAGCTACTGTACAAACTGCCTCGGTCCTTCCTGACTTTGACGTTCGTTTGGACATGGACACAATGAAGAGCTTTTACTCTCAGCCTAATGTTGGGGTCAATCTTTTAGTATCTGGTGGCTTGTATCACAATGACAGACCAACTGGAGCTGAGGTCAGTTTATGTACATGTACTTGCAATAAATGAATGAGTGTTCTATTATTATAATGCAAGAATATTATTGATCATTAGTTTTTTATTATTATTATAACACTTTATACAGATTGAAGGTCTAGTGATTGGTGATGTTACAGTCCTGGTCAATATGACACTCCGTGGAATGACTGCTAACATGACTTTACTAACTACTAGTGCACCAATACTCTTTACCATGCCAAGTAAGATATTAATAATAATAATTAATTGCTATTCATAATGCTTTTTTCTTTTCTTTCTCTCTTTTATTAATTGCTCCTTTTCCCTCTCTTGTAACAGGTAAAACTGGTGCTGGATCACTTGTTGGCAGTGGAGCTGCAATGAAGCTTAATCTTTTCACTCGTCCAAATGACAAATTCTTCCGTAACGTCCTCACTCTTCCAGACGGTCAAGGAAGCTGTCCACTTGATGCCTTCTTCAGTCTCAATGCCCAAAACAACATCAATTTCATTAGTCTTACTTCCACATGCCTTGGACTATCAATGATGGGCTATAATCTTCCTCCAGGCTCCATTAGATCAAATCTCTTTATCTCTGGAGCTTCAAAACCCACTGTCCCATCACCTACTTATGGCGCATCACCTTTTGTTGCTCATGCTTACGTGAACACTGATTCCAACAGGCTCCAATTGAATCAGTTTGTGACAGTCAATCAGCCTAGCACTGGCCCAGCTGCCTCTATTGCTTTCTCTAACTCAAACTCAGTCACTGGCTCAATTCATGATGCTGATATCTCTATCCTTGGAACTCTCTTCAATACTCCTCTTGTTTTCACAGACTCTGGCTTCACTTTCCAGACCACTACTAATCTATATGGACAGTATGCTGCTGACATCAGTGGTGCAATGATGACAACCGAGGGCAGATCCTGGACTGACTTTAACCTCACTCTCAGCGGCCAGTTCTCTGGCAGTACAAGTGGTTTTGTGACAACCCTTCAATCCTATGTGTACACGTTTACTGATGAAAGGATAGCAGAGGCTCGCTCTCGCTTGACTGTAGCTAGCAGTGCAGTCGATCGCAGCTCTGATGCCATCAATGCATTCAACCCAATCATCTCAAATATACAAAACAGCAGGGGAGCCTTGCAGCAGCAGTATGAGGGTGCTCAAGCTCAATATGAAGCTGCCAATGCCTCATACTATGCTGCTATGAGTGCCGTGGCTGGTCTAAGCGTAAATGCACACAACATTTACTCTGAGCTCCTCAAAGTCTGCCCAGACCACACCTGCATGAAGGAATGCTTCTCTTCGTCATTCTGTAACTCACTGATGACCGACACTTACATTGCAGAGCATGGAATCGGCTCAGAGGTCAGACTTGAGCAGCTACTCCAGCACAAGACTATGCCAGTAATGAGAGAGGAATGGACTACTGATTATGTTTGTCAGATCATAACAAAAATCAAAGGATGGGGAAGGATTGCCTTTGACCAGAGGTGTGCATATACTAACATATTTGAGCTCTCCCATCGTCCCCACCAACAAGCATACCACACTAGCGTTAACGTATCTAGAACAGTTTCAACAGTCGTTGATACACACAAGTATAGTGTGACACAGCCTCAATGCACTAGGGAAAGCTGTGGTGGCATGGCTTACGATATTGACTGCCTCTACCAGACTGCTGCCTGCTCTGCTGCACGAATGCCAGTATACAATTCCCTCAATGCAACCGAGAAAGAAGCAGTCATGCCTTTTATTAACTTGATGGTTGCAAAGCAGAGCTTGACTATTGCAGAGAATAGACGTGCTTATGCCCAGCACTTGTACATGACAGCACAAAATGATGCTAGTGTTGCCACTGCTTTATATCAGAGCCTCCAGAATCAACTAGCCCTTGCACAGTCTGCTAACCAATCTGTTGCTGCAGCCGAGTCTAATCTCCTAGCACTTGGAAACTACCTCTCCAATATCAATATCCAGACACTTCTGTCTATCAACACCATCTCCTTTACAACAAGTATCACCACTGCTTCACCTCAAGTCCTCCCTATAGCAATAAGATACACCATAGCTGGTCTCGGGTCACATACTGTAAATGCTAATGCACAGTTCACTGCCTCTGAGGCTGTACTAAAGAGAGAGCTTGCTAAAATCATATTGAATGACGTGGGTAATAAATTGAACCAGCATATTAGCAAACGCTCAGTCACTCTTCCCACATTCAATGAAAGGCAGTTTGAGGAGAGGTGTGCCATGGTGAACTCTGTTAAAGAATATATTGAACAGATCCATACCTCACTTCTCATGACAAAGCAACACATGATGACCGCACACAGTAACATCTCCACCACAATCGATAGCCTAAATGATGTCATTAACTATGTACCAGCAGATTATCCAGATATCAACATGACATACCTTGCTACAATGTACAACACTATTGTCTCTGTCTCCGATTTGACAGCTCAAGCCATGAGTGCACCCGAGATTGTATCAGTTGTCAATGGATCTACTCAACTTAGGAACTATCTTGCCACCACAAGGAGCAACTTGGAGATTGTGTCAACCATGAACTGGTGGGCAAGCATGGAGAGTGCCTATCAGATGGGAAAGATCTCGTCCATAGCTGGTCAAACCTGTTACAGTTTTAGTGACTGTCTTAATGTTGCTGCCGTCACCATAAAAGAGGTCCTTCAAGATAGTCCAGGAACTACAGCCCAGTCTTTACTCTCATCCCTACCAAGTGCAAAGACTCAATTGCTCAGTTTAGCTTTGAGTGCCTCTCTTAACATAACCCAGGTCCTCAACCAAGGACTACTCATCCTCAACACAACTAATGATATCATAGGAATGGACTACTGGTGCTCTGGTCTACCAGTTATACCAGATCCACTCAACCCATCACTTGCTGTTGAGCTTGGCAATACGATCACCATCAGTTGCAATGCTAACTCCAACTTACCCCTCACTTACAGCTGGAAGAAGGACGGCTTTGTTGTCTCCGGTCAAACTTCAAGCAGCTTCACCAAAACTAACGCTAATAAAGATGATGCTGGCCAGTATCAGTGTCTTGCCTCTAATGCAGTTGGTACCGTAGAATCAACATTTGCTGAAGTGGTTGTATACATTCCTCCAGTCATTACACAACAACCATCAGACTATGAGACGTATGAAGGGAATGATAATGGTGGCTACTTTACCTGTAATGCAACTGGACACCCCATACCATCATTCCAGTGGTATTTCCGTCCACAGAATTCATCTGATTGGACGATGGTCTCTAACACAAGCAACGTCCTTATTGTGCCCAAGCCAACCAAAGCCAATCAAGGATGGTACCGCTGTCATGTTATGTCCAGTGTCAATCACCTCATCTCTTCTCCTGCTTATCTTAGCATTCTCAGAGCTAATGCCTCAAAGCTAGTCTACACCATCACATTTACAATGAACGTCACAACTGCAATACAAATTGATGGTAGTGGTAATGATGAGCCTGTTACACCTCCTCCTACACTGGGTACCTTAGAGTATTTCCGTAATGAGCTAACTCTTGGTAATGCATCAGTTGATCGCCTCCAGATTGGTTTCAGTGTTGATAACAATATGCTTCAAGTTCACATTGATCTCTCTGCCCAATATCCATATCGTCTTGATCAAACAATGGAAGTGCAGGCACCCATTGCTCTTGGCTATGAGAAGGACCTTAGAAATGCTCTTCTCGAGTTGGAGAACAAAGTGCAGAACGGTATCTTCTGGTTTGAGTTGGATGGAGTTTATTATGAGACTGTCCACCAAGCAGCTAGCATTGCTGATCTTGTCTACTGGTGCCCAGAGGAGTTTGTCCTTAGATACAGCAACTTCCTATGTGGTAAGCCAAATCTAAAACTTAGTGTAATAACAAAATGTTTTAGTCATACACAGAAATAGGAATCAGTTATTTACAAATTTTTTTTCTTTCTTGCAGTGTCTTGCTCTCCTGGTACATTCTATTCATCTGTCAATAGATCCTCAGAGTGTATGCTTTGTCCAATGAACACCTACCAGGAAATGGACGGGTCTACAACATGCAACAGATGTCCACCATTGTCCGAAACATTGGACGCTGGATCAAGATGGGAGGCTGACTGCATTGGTAAGAAAAGACAGAGAAAGTAGTATAAACTGTTTTGTACTAATTTTAATTCTTTATATTGAGTTTTTCTCTTTTATTCAAAGGCTATTGTCATCCTGGTTATAATTCAAGCAATGGTCTTGAGCCTTGCTCTCCTTGCCCATTCTGTGAGTTCAATGATGAGTATAGACAGACCTCATGCATGAGCTGTACAGATGCTCATATTAACAATGGAACTGCTGGCTGCTATCAAAGTCAGTTAGATCTATAATATAAATGAATTTATTTTAATTATTATTTCTAGATTGCTCAGATAAAACCATTATCCCCAGTGCTGTAAGTTTCAAATTATAGCTATGTGTACTGTACCATTTAATACAAGCACACACAATGATTATTTTCCTTCAATTCCATGCCAAAGTTTTTGATTATAATTGTTTCATATGCTAGGGTTATCATATGACTGTTATAATTCCTGTTGTTGCTGGTGTTATAATTGCTGCAAGTAAGTTCTCATACTATGCTATAAGTGACATCATTACTTTATTATTTTAGTCATTGTGATCTTAATTATTGCTGTTGTTGTGGGACTTATCAGAAAGAGAAACAAAGTAAGAAGTATACTGCACTTTCTGTACTCATTTTATATTTGTATATTTAAAGTCTGATTCTGCTTTTGGCAAAGTATCTTCTAAACCTCGTGCTTCCATTGCCTCACCCAATGATGTTTTAAGTTTGATGCCTCATGCAGATCCAGTCAGCAAATATGATGTGGATGAGTGAGTTGATGTTACATATGCATTATATTACACATTTAAATTTAATCTTTATTTATTATTTATTATTTTGCATTGTTTAGAAATGAAGAGGCAAATGACAATGAAAGAGAGGTTGTGAATCCATTATTCCTTGAGAATGAGCAGCAGGAGTCAGCCTATGAGTCTCTCTCTCATCTCCAAATGAAAGTGAACGAGGATGAGGGTCCTACATTTGAAAAGAAAGAGATGATGGATCCATCAACTGTTGATGATGATGATGATCGTTATACTGTAACTACTGATAAAATGCCTTTATCTGATGAGTTGAAAGGAATCGGTGGCCTTGCTGGACGAAAAGCAGCTTTGTTTGGAAAATAACTAAAAAACCTATATATAATGTCCTTTATAGATGTCTTTTGTTTTGTCTTTTGCCATTTTATTATGTTCATCTTATAATTTATTTTGTTGCTGCTTTAATTATGGTAGTATTATAATGATTATTATTCGTATTATAAATCTAATAATAGATCTATGCTATGATGCAATGCCATAATAAGACTCCGCCTTACAGCTCGATCAGCACTCAGCAGTGAATCCGTGATTTGGATATGAAGGCTCGTATGAAGGTCTTTTCTCTTCTCCTAGTTTTTTGTGTAGGGATATGCTACACTGAAGGATCAGCAGTGTAAGCTAAGACAACCAGTTCGATCTGAATAGAACCTCATTGGCATTGTTTCATTATAGATGTACTGTCCTAAAAACGAGACAAGCGTCAATTAGTGCTGCTACAACTGTTTACTCTCAGAGCTCTTACAGTAAAAGTTGTGGTTGGTGGTTGTTTAGGTGGTTGTTTAAGAAGAGGTGCACAGCCTATAAAGCAAGGTAAGAATTATGAACTAAAATGAAATTTAAAAACAATATAATTTAAATCTTATGATAGATCATCAATACAGTATGTAACAAATTATGTAACTGAGTACTATAAAAGTCAAGAGTGCTGCACAGGATATAGTGGAACTCCTCCTAATTGCTCTCGTGAGTTGTATCTCTCCTAATGATTTTAAATTTTTTAATGTAACATGTACAATAGCTGTCTGTAATGATCCTTGCTCAAACTGTGCCGCTTCTTGTATTGTTCCTGGTATATGTACCTGCAAATCTGGATATACTGGTCATGACTGTTGTACAGGTATAATCATTAACATGATAAAAATGCCACACCTTGCATCTCATAACAGATATTAATGAGTGCTTGTCTTCTAATGGAGATTGTGAGCATCAATGTCATAACACTGATGGTAGTTTTACATGCTCATGTCCTACTGGTTTGAGTCTAGTGTCACACACTGCATGTCAAGGTATGATGTTTTTATAACTACAAGTAAACTTAATGTGTGTATCTTTTTTAGATATTAATGAATGTGCATCCTCAAATGGAGGTTGTTCTCAAATTTGTAAAAATACTCCTGGAAGTTATTATTGTGAATGTTATCCTGGATATACTCTTGGTAGTGACAGCCACACGTGTAATGGTAAGTACCTCACAACCCCTTGTGTTACAAAAATTTTCTTAAAACACTCCTAAACTTGTTGCGGAATGAGGCACTAATGAATAATTATGATAATAGTGGTGTGACTCTGTTTATTACAGATAATGATGAGTGCAATGATAGCACTGATGCATGCAGTCAAGTATGTCATAACACAGTTGGTAGCTATGCGTGTAGTTGTAACTCTGGATATTCACTTGCTACTAGTGATCACAGAACATGTACTGGTATGCGAGATAATTAACATACACAAATTATTATTACATTATATTTGATTTTATTTAAGATATAAACGAGTGTTTGGATGATGATAATGGTGGATGTCATGGAACTTGCACTAATACTGTTGGCAGTAGAACTTGTTCTTGTAGCAGTGGATATGTATTGACCAATGGAAATGAATGCCATGGTATGATCACTGTTATAATGATTATTAAACCTTCAATAATTGATTGTATTGTAGATAAAAATGAGTGTTTAGTTAGCAATGGTGGATGTGCTCAAAACTGTCACAATACAATTGGATCATTTACATGTTCTTGTAATGCTGGCTATGCATTGAGTAGTAATGGAAAAGGCTGCATTGGTTTGTAATATAGACATAAATATTTATTATAAATGCCAGACAATCAGTGACTGCATTCAGTGGTAAAAGAAGACAGAGAGTATTTATCAGGCTGTTTTGTACTAACTTTAATTTTTATAATGAGTTTTTCCTTTTGTTTAAAGGCTATTGTCATCCTGGTTATAATTCAAGCAATGGTCTTGAGCCTTGCTCTCCTTGCCCATCCTGTCAGTTCAATGATGAGTATAGACAGACCTCATGTATGATCTGTACAGACGCTCATATTAACAATGGAACTGCTGGCTGCTATCAAAGTCAGTTAAAACTACAATGTGAACAAAGGTTTGATTTTCATTTCTAGATTGCTCAACTGAAACTGTTAACATCAGTACTGTAAGTTTTAATTATAGCTATAATAGCAATTTTTACTGTATCATTGATTTACGAGCACATAATAATTATTTCCATCAATTTCATGCCAAGCTTTTAATTATAATTGTTTCATATGCTAGGGACCTAATATGACTGTTATAATTCTTATTGCTGCTGGTGTTATAGCTGCTGCAAGTAAGTTCTCATACTATGCTATAAGTGACATCATTATTTTATTATTTTAGTCATTGTGATCATAATTCTTGTTAAGGGACTTATCAGAAAGAGAAAGAAAGTAAGAAGTATTGTAATTTCTGTACTCATTTTATGTTTAAAGTCTGAGGCTCCTTTTTATGGCAAAGTATCCTCTAAACTATGTGCTTCCATTGATTCATCTAATGATGCTCTTAGTTTGTTGATAGATGAGTGAGTTGATATTGCATGTACATTATGATACACTTATTTATTATTTTGCATCGTTTAGAAATGGAGAGGCAAATGACAATGAAAGAGAGGTTGTGAATCTTGAGAATGAGCAGCAGGAGCCAGCCTATGAGTCCCTCTCTCATCTCCAAATGAAAGTGAACGAGGATGAGGGTCCTACATTTGAAAAGAAAGAGATGATGGATCCATCAACTCTTGATGATGATGATAATCGTTATACTGTAGCTGCTGCTGATACCTTTATCTGATAATTTGAAAGGAATTGGTGGCCTTGCTCGACAAAAAGCAGCTTTGTTTGGAAAATAACTAAAAAACCTATAATGTCCTTTTTGCTTTGTCTTATATCATTAATTCTCAGTGTTCATGTCATAACTTATTTCACTACTGCAGCTTTTAATATTAATTATGGAAGTATTATAATGACAATAATCATACTATAAAAATAGATCTAGACTACACAGCCAAGAGTTAGCATGTATGATACAAGGCACTGCCCAAGATAATGAATAAAACCTGATTACAGTATTGATACAGTCTGACAATATCATTGCTGAATCATGCATGTTGTTCTGGCTGAACCAGCGCATATTCCAGTATGATTGTATCAAGGCTGATAGATCAAGCTAGGGTCATTGCTATGTTAGCTGCCCAAAATTCATGATTCAGGTTGCAATAGGCCGGATCAGGACTGACATATTCATGATTCAATAGACACAAACTCTGGGCTGTGTACGTGTGTAAGCCGTAGACAGGTAGACTCCGCCTTACCACGCACCTTAATTCCAAACATGGATGCAAAGTTCTTTTCTCTGCTCCTGGTTCTTTCACTTCTTTGCATGAGAATAAGCTACACAGAAGGATCAGCAGTGTAAGCTAAGACAACCAGTTCGATCTGAATAGAAACCTCATTGGCATTGTTTCATTATAGATGTACTGTCCTAAAAACGAGACAAGCGTCGATTAGTGCTGCTAAAACTGTTTACTATCAGAGCTCTTACAGTATAAGTTGTGGTTGGTGGTTGTTTAGGAGGAGATGCACGGTCTATGAAAGAAGGTAAGAATTTATGGACCAAACTGAAATTTTGACACAATATTTTACAATAGATCATCAATACAGTATGTAACAAATTATATAACTGAGTACTATCAAGGTCAGGAGTGTTGCACAGGATACAGTGGAACTCCTCCTAATTGCCCTCGTGAGTTGTATATATCTCCTCTTATTATTGATTTTGATGTAACACAAAAATAGCTGTCTGTAATGATCCTTGCTCAAACTGTGCTTCTTGTATTGCTCCTGGTATATGTACCTGCGATCCTGGATACACTGATAATGACTGTTGTACAGGTATAATCATTAACATGTTAAAGAAATGCTGTTGCATCTCATAATAGATATTAATGAGTGTTCATCCTTTAATGGAGGTTGTGAGCATCAATGTCAAAACACTGTTGGCAGTTATACATGCTCATGTCCTACTGGTTTCAGTCTAGTGTCACACACTGCATGTCAAGGTATGATGTTTTTATAACTACAAGTAAACTTAATGTGTCTAAAATTTTCCTAGATACTAATGAATGTGCATCCTCAAATGGAGGCTGCTCTCAAATTTGTAAAAATACTCCTGGAAGTTATTATTGTGAATGTTATCCTGGATATACTCTTGGTAGTGACAGCCATACATGTAATGGTAAGTACTTCACAACCTCTTGATTGTGTTCTTTATTGAAAACGGGAATTTTTAAAAATATTCATAACTTTGTTGTTGCTTAAAGAGACACTAATGAATAATTATAATTATGGTGGTGTGACTCTATTTTTAGATAATAATGAGTGCAGTGCTGGAACTGATGCTTGTGGTCAAGTATGTCATAACACAGTTGGTAGCTATGCATGTAGTTGCAACTCTGGATATTTACTTGCTACTAGTGATCATAGAACATGTAATGGTATGTGAGATACTTAACACATAACTAACATTATAATTGGTTTAACTTAAGATATAAACGAGTGTTTGGATGGTGATAATGGTGGATGTCATGGAACTTGCACTAATACTGTTGGCAGTAGAACTTGTTCTTGTAGCAGTGGATATGTACTGACCAATGGAAATGAATGTCCTGGTATGATCACTGTTATAATAATTATTAAACCTTCAATAATTGATTGTATTGTAGATAAAAATGAGTGTTCAGTTAGCAATGGTGGATGTGCTCAAAACTGTCACAATACAATTGGATCATTTACATGTTCTTGTAATGCTGGCTATGCATTGAGTAGTAATGGAAAAGGCTGCAATGGTTAATATTATAATTAAAAGACATATCACATTATTGTATGTGTATAATAATAGATATTAATGAATGCAATACAAACAATGGTGGCTGTGAGCATACCTGCACAAACACAGTTGGTAGTTATACCTGTTCATGTAGAACTGGTTACTTGCTCTCCAATGGGCATTGTGCAGGTACAATGTATGTCATAATGACATAATACTTTTATTCATAATATTTTCAGATAAAAATGAATGCAATAGCAACAATGGAGGCTGTAGTACTACTTGCGTCAATACTGTTGGTGGTTACCATTGTGAGTGTAATTCAGGATACAACCTTCAGAGTAATGGAAAAACATGCCAAGGTACTATCAAGAAATCAATATATCGTTTTATGTACATATTAGATGTGAATGAGTGCTCCACTAATAATGGAGGCTGTGCTCAGAATTGTGTCAATACTGCCGGTAGCTATCACTGTACTTGTAATGCTGGCTATACTTTGTCTGGTAATGGGAAAACGTGTAATGGTAAATGGAATGATAATAGTGAAAAATTAAAATTATCATTAACTGACAGATAATAATGAATGTGGCAATCAGAATGGAGGATGTGACCAAGTGTGTACTAATACAGTAGGGAGCTTCACCTGTTCATGTAATACTGGCTACACACTATCTAACAATGGAAGAGACTGCAATGGTTTGTAATATAAACATAAATATTTATTATAAAGATTATTTTAATGTAGATATAAATGAATGCAATACAAACAATGGAGGATGTATGCAAAATTGTATCAACACAGCTGGGAGCTACTACTGTACATGCAACACCGGGTATTCACTGGCTAATAATCAGCGTGGCTGTCAAAGTAAGCTCTACCCATTCATTTATCTGTAATATAGAGTATTGTATAGATATTAATGAGTGTAATCAAGGAAATGGTGGATGTGAACAGACTTGTACTGACTCTAATGGCAGTTTCACATGCTCTTGTAACACTGGGTACCAGCTAGTATCAGGAAAGCATTGCTCTGGTATGATACCATTATATGATGATAATGCTTTTATTTTGATTTCAATTAGATATAAATCAATGTAATTCTAATAACGGAGGATGTGAACATACTTGTATTAATACAGTTGGTAGTTACTCCTGTCAGTGTAATTCTGGCTATAGTCTTAACAGTGATAATAGTAATTGTGATGGTAAGATCATTAGTTTCTCATTGCAACCCATCACATTTGATTTAAGATATCAATGAGTGCAACACTAACAATGGAGGGTGTCAGCATGTTTGTCAGAATACTGTTGGTAGCTATAAATGTTCCTGTAATGCTGGATACACTATAAATCTTGACAATAAAACTTGCTCATGTAAGAGAATGTACAAAGTAATATATATTCTAAATATTTTTAATTTCATAGTTAATTGTGATGATTCTTGTCATCATTGTATCTCATGTACCTCTCCTACTACATGTTCCTGTATCAGTGGATGGATGGGTGATAACTGTTGTACAGGTAAGTAATCAAAAGGATAATTGACACAAGAGCAACTTTTCTATTACAAAAGGTCATTTTTGTAAACAAGCCTTTAATCCCATAAGTCCCATCTCAGCAAATTTTTTGCTGTTGATGTTTTACCATTTAAGCATGAGCAATGAGATTCATCTTATTTGCTGAATATATGGAATGCAACTGATCCTAAATTCATAGCAAGTATTGCATCACTCCATGTAACTTATTCTTGACCTCAGTCTGCACTGCTCTGCTTATTCTGCTTTACAAATCAAAAACATTTGTAGATAAAAATGAGTGCTTGACAAATAAAGGTGGGTGTGCTCATCAGTGTCATAATTCAATGGGATCATATACATGCACATGCAACCATGGATATCAGCTACAACCTAATGGAAAGACTTGTATTGGTTAGTTATTGACAGACCATGTAAATGAATTGATGGTGCACTGTATAGATATAAATGAGTGTTCAAATGATGATGATAATGATTGCAATCAATTATGCAGTAACACCCCTGGGTCGTATACATGCTACTGTAATACCGGCTATGAATTGCAATCAGATGGTGCCACTTGTGTTGGTAAGTACTTACTTATATAGAGATCTATTCTATTCCTATCATTCTCAGATACTAATGAGTGTCACAACAACAATGGAGGATGCAATCAAACCTGTACCAACAACATTGGTAGTTATACCTGCTCTTGCTCAGATGGATACACTGCTAGTGGACATTCTTGTAATGGTATGTAATTATTTTAACTGAGCTACCTGTATAATGATGTTTCAATATATCTAGATATCAATGAGTGTTCTTCTGCTAGTACTAATGACTGTACACATACCTGCTATAATACAATTGGTAGTTATGTGTGTGATTGTAATGTTGGCTATGTACTTGATACTGATGGACTTACTTGTGTTGGTGAGATATGTATATGTGTGTGTGTGTGTGTACTATTGGTGTGTGATATATTTTGATAGATGATAATGAGTGTAATAGAAACTATGGAGGGTGTAGTCAAAGGTGTATTAATAATGTTGGTAGTTATAGCTGTGAGTGTTTTCAAGGATATATTTTAGATGATGATAGTCATAATTGTTCAGGTACATTAATATTATATTGCTTCATGCTTATTAATATTATCTATGATTCACAGATCACAATGAATGTGCTACAAATACACATGCTTGTGATCAGCACTGTCATAACTCAAACAGCTCCTACTACTGCACTTGTGACAATGGATACAGACTACAGCCAGATGGAAGAACATGTGAAGGCAAGCAAAAAATATTCCAATAATCTAAAATTAATAATAACACTCGATAATAATTATTAGATATTGATGAATGTGCTGAGCACAGTTCAGGATGTAACCAGTATTGTAATAATACAGATGGAGGTAGAATATGCTCATGTTACAATGGATATGAGCTTAGTAATAATAACAGAACATGCATAGGTAAGGAATAGAGACTCATTTGTATCATTATGATTATTATAATAGATATCAATGAGTGTCTTACTAATAATGGAGGCTGTGAAACTACTTGTACTAACACTCCTGGTAGCTACAGTTGTTCATGCAACCCTGGATATGAACTTGACAATGATGTACATCACTGCAATGGTTAGCTAGTACTGTGTCTATAATAATTATTAATTTATGTAGAAATTGATGAGTGTCTTCGTGGCACTGATTTGTGTGAACACAATTGTACTAACACTGCTGGTAGCTACAACTGCTCCTGTGTGGTTGGATATTACTTGGAGGCTAATAATCACAACTGTACAGGTATTATATAGGAATACATTATGCATGTTGTACAAATTTTCACATGTCATCAGATATAATTGAGTGTAACACTGATAATGGTGGCTGCAATCAAACATGTGTCAATGAGATTGGAAGTTTCCATTGTCTTTGTGATTCTGGATACACTCTTGATGATGATGGACTAGGATGCACTGGTAATAATTACAGTTTTATTGTGATCTAGTCTAAGCAAATAAACTTGTCTTTGTATTCAGATATCAATGAGTGTCAGACTCCTAGTCATGGTTGTGATCAGCAGTGTAGTAATACAATAGGCTCTTACTACTGCTACTGCAATAATGGCTATAGACTAAATTCTACCAGTCAAAGAACATGCTATGGTAATATAAAGGTATTGTTATTAATCTGCTTATTGAAGCCTTTTTGTAGATATTGATGAGTGCTCTGAGGATACAGATGGCTGTGCTCACAGTTGTCATAATACAATAGGCAGCTATTATTGTTCATGTAATACTGGCTATTCTCTTGAAACTGATCAGCATGGTTGTGAAGGTAAGAGAATATATGAAGTATCTTGCTACTGACTAATTCTTTCAGATGTCAATGAATGTTTGACAAACAATGGAGGATGCAATCAGACCTGTAACAATAGCATTGGTAGTTACAGTTGCTCTTGTGAGATAGGATTTGATCTACATAATGATCAACATGACTGCAATGGTACAATAAGACATCTTTTAAGCACTGAACTACATCAATTTCTATAGATATAAATGAATGCAGTAGCAATGATGAAAATAATTGTGAGCAAGAGTGCATTAATAACTATGGTAGCTACACTTGTGATTGTTTTACTGGCTATCAATTGGACAGTGATAAATATAACTGCTCAGGTATATAAACACGTAATGTACAAGTTGTAATGAAATATTATCATAGACATCAATGAATGCAGTATTGAGAATGGAGGGTGTGAGCACTACTGTACTAACGAGATAGGTTCATATCATTGCTCCTGTGAGACAGGTTATATTTTGGCAACTAATGGTCATGATTGTAATGGTTAGTATAGTTAAAGTTTATGTACAAATGTATCTAATATTCATTTTTAGATGTTGATGAATGTTTAATGAATTACGATAGTTGTGAGCAAAACTGTCATAACACAAATGGCTCTTACTATTGCTCCTGCAATACAGGCTACAGGCTCAGCTCTGATAACTTCACTTGTGATGGTTGGTATAGAATAATGATTATGAATAGTGCTGTTATAATAATTATTGCTTTTTGCGTTTATAATTAAAGCTGTGGCTAATAGATGTAGTGCTGTACAGAAAGTTTGAGCCAATTGCAATTGTTAGATTTATTCATTAGATAAGTGCTGGCCATAGATGTTTCACTTATTGCAATTGAAGTCACGTTAAAAACGGTTAAATGTTAGTAAATATGACATAAAAGAATTCTTCATGTTATGTATTTTTTGATACATATGTTCTTATATTGTGTAAAAAGTTTGAACTGATTCCAACCAAAATTTGAATTTTTACAAGCTTTTTAATTTGCTCAAAAGTCACCTGTAAATGGCTATAGGAAAGAATTCTAGTTAATACATCAGTATAAATAAATTTGCACCCAGATATTTATAGATTGAATTAAATTTATTTTGAGATATGAAACTAATAAGGCACAGTTTAATGCTTATATGTTTTTAGATGTTCATGAATGTGATGAAGGCATATCAGGCTGTGAACACAATTGTACTAATAGTATTGGAAGTTACAATTGCAGTTGTACCACTGGATACTACCTTGATTCTGATAATCATTCTTGTAAAGGTACTTATAGTAAAACTAAGTCACAAGTTAAATTAATTGTCTTTTATTTTAGATGTCAATGAATGTGAAACAGCTAATGGAGATTGTGAACACAATTGCAATAATGTCATTGGTAGCTATTACTGCACGTGTCGTGAAGGATATGACTTAGATGATGACCTTCATGGATGCACAGGTAGAGTTTAGTTAAGTATTTTATGATGTAAAATTGTAAATGCAACAATGAACATTATAATCACAGACTCTGCATTTTTATTATAGGTCAGCCTTGCTATTTGAATCTTACTGCTCCTGTTAATGGCTCAATGATGTGTACTGGTGTCCCTGATCAAGTTACTGATGAGAACTGCACCTTCTTGTGTGATTATGGCTTTACGTTTTATGGGTCCCCATTGAGAACCTGTCTCTCTAATCACAGCTGGACAGGAGAGGAGCCTTATTGTGTCATTAAACACTGTCCCCGTCTCTCTCCTCCTCCTAACGCTTACATTACAACTAAACCATGTGACAAGGAATACACAACAGACTGTGAAATAAGATGTGTGGACGGTTATTATATTAATGGACGAACACCATTTTATCAGACCTGTACTGTAGATAATACCACTAATGAGGTATTCTGGACTAGACCACCAATTTGTGAGAGTAAGTATATCACTCATGCATTGTTTGAAATAAAAATACTGAATATTGTTTAAAATATGTTATTAGTTACATATAATTTTTTCTTTTATAGTCATTCCATCTTGTGCTTCAAATCCTTGCCTTCATGGTGGAAAGTGTCATGATAGAAATGTAGGCAGTTTTGCATGTGACTGCTCATTGACTAATTACAAAGGAAGCACTTGTGAAGTTGGAATTCTAGAGACGCCAGCTATACCAATACTAGTTGTTGATCAACCGTCACAATTTTTGACTTTAACAGCTCATCCTGAGACTGACTTAAGAGTAGACATAATATCTAGCAGTAGTCAGCTTGAAGTCCTCTCAAATACTTCATTTTATTTATACAATGTACTTCCAAGATCTTATTTCAAATTGATTGCATATGAGGAAGGCATATACACAATCAGTTATAATGTATCAGGAACTGATGCTGACTCGTTTGAGACTCCACCACCAGTAAGAGTCATAGCAGTGAACAATACTGATGATATCAGTAGAGTAGGAGAATCAAGCAACAGCAGTGACTATGGAATTCCGGATATGCTTACTCCTGGTTGCTGTACTCCATATGGTCTCACATATCAGTGTCCCTATTCAACAAACACTGTCAGGTTTACTTCAACTTGCTCATGGAGTTTTGAGTCTAGCGGAAACCAAGTAACTGATGGTGTTACGTTTGTTTCAGCTCATGGATTGACAGTGCCAGTATCAATAGCTGGTGCTGAATTGATTCAAATAATTTCTGATGGTATTACAAATACGCTACCACAGACTGAGCACTCTTGTAATGAGTGTCCGAGCACTAATAATTCCGATTGCTCAAACTATAACTTTGATCCAAATGATTTTCTCATTTTATTATCTCGAAGACTATTGGGAGCCTCATACTTGAATTATACCGATCAACTGCTACCCTCCTGGCTTACTCTCCGCTTATTACCACAATGGCTAACTGAGAACTCTACTTTTTCTTTCAAAGACTACTCTACCTACTTGAGAACAGGAGACAGAACCAGTGACATCGAGAGCTGTCAGAATTTGAAACTTGGCTCCGACAGACTTTACTCTATTATTATCTACAACAATCCCATTTCAGTTGAACTGGTTGACAAGCTGCACACATACACACCACAACAAAATGAGTCAATATGCATTGCTATTGATCTCTGCAGTGATAGGGATTCCCCTGTACACATAACACTTCCACCAAGTATCCGAGGTATCATAAATAGCTTCAGTCAAATTCAGGTAAATGACATGCACAATTTGTTGCAAAAGGAAAAAATAATTTTATACTACTTTATGTAGGAGTTTGTTCATGAAGGTTGGGAGTTGTCATACGAAGAGGCTGTAGTCTCCAGGAATGGCATTGGTGCTGATGAAATAAATGCAACATTCCCAGAGTCATACTGGAATGGTAGTAGATACATTGACACTGCTGATGTTCTGCCTTCCTTTGATGTTCAACTGAAGATGAATGCCTACAAAAACTTTAATGAGTCTAACATATTTTGGGCAGCTCTTAATGTCACAGGTGACATTTATTATCAGACACAAGTCACTAAGAATAAAGTAAGTGAGGTATTATTTATTATAGCATGATTATCAATTTTACTAGGTTGAAGGAGTGATTGATGGCAGGGTAAGTCTTACTCTAAATATGAGTTTTAGCAATATGACTGGAGAAATGGTTCTAACAACCAGAGACAATCCTACCATTTTTTCTCTTATTAGTAAGTATGAACTTTTTAAAAGTGTATTATGATTTTGTTTTAGATACTGGAGACAATAGTATTCTTAAAGGCATATCAATGAAACTGGACTATTCAGCTGGAAGGAAAGATGAATTATTTTCAAAAGTCTTTCAGTGCGTAAATCGAGCTTGTCCTTTTGATGTCTTTGTTCAGTTACCTGACCTAAAGATTATAGATTACATTTATCTTCGCACAAACCAAATTACCCTTTCAATTGACAGCTATAGGTTTGAAAAGGGAGCACTGGACAATGCGATCACAATCAACTCCTCCTCAGAGGATCCTCTATTGACAGGAGCTCAACTTCTCATAGAGTCCAATCTAACTGGTAGTCAGCTTATTCTTAATCCATTTATCTCACTCAGGCAGCCTGAAACAGGATCAGCTCTCAGTGCTGGGTATTGGAAAAATGGCTCTTTTCTAGCAAAACTTCCAAGAGTGGCTTTCTCAATATTAGATACCCTCTTCACTACTCCAGTTTCTATTGACAGTGATAACGGCCTCATATTTCATGATGATGACATTAGCATTCTCTCATCATATAAAGCTGGCATTACAGGTAGAAGCTATCGACAAAACAATTGGGATGATATTTCTCTGATTATTAATGGTAACTTTAAGACTGGCCCAGATGGTTCATTTGTTAGTGACTTGGAGACGTATGTTCATGACTATGCCAACACTAAAGTGCAAGATGCACGAGAAAGAGTATTGAATGCACAATTAGCAGTAGAACGTACCAAATCATTAATAATGAAATACAACTGTACTTTAGCCAGTAAACAAGCTAACCTCACCATTCTTAATGGTCTGTACACTAAAGCATTAAATAAAGTGACCCAATTTGCTGAAGGCATCAATCAAGCACAAAACTTAATCAGTAGTGCTAACTCATCACAATTGGCAGTACTGCAAAAACTACAATCAATTTGTACTGATTTGCCCTGTCCAGAGATGTGCCTACCAACTGTAACATGTGAGTCATGTGACAATCAGCTATCAATAGACAACTGGGGAATAGTAAACAGCATTCAGTTGGAGGAACTCCTCCAATACCAGAAAGGCCTAGTGACTGAGGAGAAATGGAACATACAGCGTCTTTGTCGTATTATCACAAAAATACGATCCTGGGCCGTGGTGAGTTTTGGACAAATCTGTAGCTACAAGACTGTTTTCAGCAATGTAACTCACGAGGCTGGCGTCACTTATACTGAAAGAGTTAATGTATCACAAATACAAGCAGCTATAGTGGATACGTTAGAGTATATTGCTAATGAGTTTTGCTGTCAGAATGAGATATGTGGGGCCCAAACCTTGAATTATTCATGTGCAGTATCTAATGCAGGGTGTCGTATAGCTCAAACTGCAGCATTAAATACAATGACTGATGCACAGCAAGAACTAGTGACCCCATTACTTCAATTACCGCAGGCCAAAATAAATCATTCTATTGCTCAAGTTGAATCAACTGTGATAGCAGCACAAATAAATGCGACTCAGGTTGCTATTGAACAAACACAAAAAATGTTACAAAATCTTCTTAGCCAATACCAACAAGAACTGGACAACTTGCAATCCATTCAAGAAGATCAACGACTGATACTAACAATTTGGGAGAACTTAAATACGAGCACAATCCAACAACTACTAAGAGTCAATGGGGTATCATTCACAGCTAATATCAGTGATGAACCCACTTCAACATTAATAAATGTCAACATCACTTGTAGCATACCTGTCACTGATACTACTCTGACAATAACCGATACCATTGACTTGACAGCTGGGCTACCATTAATAAAGCGTGATCTAGCTAACAGGATTCTTAATAGGTTAGGGGTACAACTTGAGAATGGTGCTAATAAAAGGAAGCGATCCATTCTCATTCCTTCCTTTAACAAGCAGCAATTTGAGACTAAATGTGCATCACTCAATGATGTGAAAGGATTCTTAACACAGCTCAATCAATCTTTGGAGTATGCACTTGGAAAAGCCCAAGAAATAAAGTCAAATTTAAGTAATGCTGCTGCATCAATTCCCTCAACTCTATCTGTAAATGCCTTCAATTTCTCTCACATAAATTTCAGTTATTTGCAGAGTGAATTCCAGATTGCAATAGAACAGGATAGTTTGCTCACAGAAGCAACAACAGATCCATCGATAGTCAATCTCACGTCAGCTATTACTGATTTACGTCGATCTATTCTATTGCAAAGTTTAGAAATTGATAGCACACACTTTATATCATGGCAGACCAGTATGGCCAGCCTTTACAAGGAAGGTATTACGAGGATAGCTAACACATCTTGCTATGGCTTTACTGATTGTCTCACAGTACTAACAAATGTATTAAGAGACCTTATATCAGATGCTCCATCAGACATAATTGATCATAATTTAATGTCTTCGTTATTGGCTGCCAAACAAGCTCTACTCCAATTGAGTCTCTTCACAAATGCATCACTCACAGAAGCAGCCTCTCTTGATAATGGAGTCAATGATATTGTGCATCATATAGAGAATGCACAGTATTGGTGTAGCAGACTACCAATAATAACAGAGCATCCACAGAGCACGGTACATGTTGTGATGAATGATACACTAACTCTTGAGTGTGCTGCTCAATCAATTCAACCTATGAGGTATCGCTGGAAGAAGGATGGGTTCACACTGCAGATTTCCTCTTTTCCGACGTTGACGATTGATGAAACAACATTATTGGATGAGGGACAATACCAGTGCACTGTTATGAATAACATTGGAACAGTCGGCTCGCATTTAGCTAATGTTTACATAATTGTTCCTCCTACTATTGTGCTCTCTCCCTCTGACACCATGACATTTGAAGGCTCTGATAATGGAGGATGGTTTGCATGCAATGCCAGTGGGCACCCTACACCAGGATACCAATGGTTTTATTCATTAGATAAGTCCAACTGGACTCTAGTTGAAGATAGTGCAAGTAATGAACTGGTTGTATTTAAGCCTACTCTTATTCAGGAAGGCTGGTATCGGTGTCGTGCTTTTATTGGAGATTATGTCGATTATTCTGAGCCAGCATTTTTGATAGTTCGCAGAGCAAGTTTCAGCACTATTAACTTTCCCATTGAGTTCCTAATGGTTCTTCTTAACAGAAATCCTTCAGTACCTACTAATAACACTGACAGAATAAAGCATATGTTATACAATAAGCTAAGGAATCACACTCTAACACATGATGATCAAATTGAAATCAAAAATTTTGAACTTTTGTATAGTCACAGTAACTCAAGAGTCACAGTTGATACTGGATTCTACTTTGAGTTTGATTATTCTATTTACATACTTATATCTGATCAAGCTGATCTTGCATTGCCTCATATGCTCAACCTCATTCAGAGCACATTAACACTTGAAGGAAAAATGGGAGACATTTACTTTGATATCAGTGATATATCATACATCTCACTGAAGCAGTCTCTATTGATTGGTAATTTACAGTATCTTTGCCCTGCTGGTCAAGGCGTAACCGATGGGAACTTTATATGCAGTAAGTGATGTGATGTCATGTATCATGTAATAATTTCAATCTTATTATTAGTTGATTGTTCTACCGGAATGTACTCAGATTTCACTGACATAGCTACGCAGTGTGTTCCATGTAAGAAAGGATCATATGGTGTTGATATTGGTCAGAGTCAATGCACATCCTGTCCAGCTGGTTATAGTACTCTTAATGTTGGGTCCACATCAGAAGAAGAGTGCTTAAGTAAAAATAAAAAATCAAATCCTTTTTAATTAAAATAATTGTCAATATAGAGTTGTGTTTACCTGGTCAGAATTCTACTACTGGGACAGTTCCATGCCTCTCTTGTCCACCTTTCACATATGCACTCAGTGAAGGATCGATATTGTGCACAGAGTGTGATGAGAGTGCAATTACAAAAGGAATTCCTGAGTGTCAAATTCCATTTATGACTTCATCGGTTATAGATGAGCCCGATACAAGTAAGCCTATTCTCTATTTCTATGGGTTTAAAATTTGTGATTTTTTCTAACACAGCTGAGACTCCAACATTGGATTCAGAAGTAAGATACAAACACTCTTTAAACATTAAATTAATGCATTTCTGCAATTAAAAGTGGACTTAAGCTCTGTAATTATTGTTATTTTTTGTACTAATTTGCTATAGGAAGGAACATCTAATGATGGAATCATTGCACTTTTTATAATTGTTTTCTCATTAATTGGACTGAGTAAGTACAAAATATAAGCTCAGTCTATATAAAATATTTGGTATTATATATCATTTTTATTAAATTTTTTCTATAGCTGCTATTTCACTAATAGCTATTATAACCACTGTTGTTCTTTACCGAAAGAAGAAGAGACCAGGAGTAGTCATACAACGTTCAAAACCTAGGAGAATGAAAGAACCAGGAATAAGTTTTGTGTCTAATCCACTGTTTCAACAACAAAATCGACGCGAGTCGAATAATTTTACAGACAATGGAAGGTAAAATTGATATTATCAATATTTTGAATGAATCATATCAATTCTATGGAAACTGTAGTGTGTCGGCAGAAAGTGATATTGTAAGAGTCAATCCATTGTATCAAGGGTTTCATGCAGAAGAAGAAGATGATGAGTGTGATACCATTAATAGCTATTCACAAGTTGGTCAGTTCTTTCCTGCTCATCCAACTTTGGATCAAATCTATGATGAAATTGAGCCTGTCAAGTTCCATCAGCATTTTGAGGGACATGATGATGATGATGAAGATGACTTCGATGATTTAATGGAAAAATTTTAAATCTGCATTTATTTATATTTATTTATACTGCTATAAATGTAAAGTTGTGCTATGTTAAAAAATAATGTTATATTTTTAGAAATATTATAAAAAACTTGAGCTGCAAACACAATTTTAATAATTTTTATTACACTGATGTTTCATTGGTTTTTATTAGCAATACTTTTGAAACATTTCTAACAATTGTCCTTCCACCTGTTCTCATTTTTTGCCACTTAATCACAAAATTAAGAATAGTGAGAGATACCAGACCAATTAAAAAGTACGCAACAGCACTCATGTATGGACTGTACATCTTCTCAAAAGTGCTCCTACTGCATTTTTCTGGATCATGACCAAAAGCTTCACATTCAAAGTACTGTGTTAAAGCAGCTTCAAAAGCAGGAACTCTTGCAATTACACTGCTAACATATCCCAAGGAGAACAAACTGAACACTGAAACTGAAGTAAATATTAATATTATCTTCTTTTCAGCTGTACTCAACTGAGTACTTTTATATATTTTAGACTTCTAAAAATTACAAATTGTCAAAAACATAACTCTTGATGATTAATAGATCTAATAGCTGTACTTTTCTGATGCTCCACAGTGCTATTATTAACATAAAAATACCAGCGCCTAGAAACAAATCGGTAGGCAGAATATTGGAATAGAACCACATCTCACTGCTAGTTGCACACATTTGAGGAGGGAAACGATTAAGATTATATTGTACTTTTTTCACAGTAAGACCAACGATAACAGCTGGTAATGGAACCAACATACCTTTATGTAACAGGCAAGTATTTAATTATGGCTAAATCTGTTTAGTTGACTTACTAACGACAATCACTGTAGCAAGTATGTACTTGTTTCGACCTAGCCTCTCAAATCTGTTTGCTTGAAAAGGGAACAGAATTTTGTGAAAAAATATTGCCACATTGCAGAACCACCAAAGAACCAAATTTATTAATGAGTAATGAAAAAGAGCACCTATTTACAAAAAATTATAAATAGACTTTAGCTACTTGCTTTAATATACACTTGTAGTAATGCAAGCAGACAATAAGTTATTGGCAAAATGCATGTACCTCCATATTTACAGAACAGAGTTGGGTTGTCTAGCGTTTCTAACAAACTCACTGAACTGCAGTACAAATAATCTCTACCAGCAGCAGTTATGATGATTATTGATGCTATAGTAATAATTTCACATGTAATGTATTGATAATAGTTGCATATATATGTACCCAATATTATAATGTCAATGACTTGAAATAATATCAATATTGAAGGATACTTGAACCTAAAATAATGATAAATTACAGTCAATTTAGAAACCACAGATTTGATTTGTTTGTAACTGTGGGACTCTCAACAGCAGCTTACATCATTTTGTGGTCTTTAATGGACAAGATAATTGTTACGATTGACAGTAAGAGAGCAATGCTAGCAGCAGTAACTTCTGAGCCTATCATTATTTGTGTTTCAGTATGAGATGATTGTTCAAATCTGTCACATCTTGGTTCACAGATCACGTTAGTTTTAACAAAATCATCTCTGCAAGTGATGTTATTTGTAATGCTTTCATTTGAAGTAGAGAGGTTTGTGGAAAGAGCTACTATGAAAATAAACAATCACAAGATTTCTAATTGGTATACTTACCATTAGCTTTAGGTAACTCATCACAGTTAGGCAAATCATAATCAAATTTTAGTCCCAAGTCCCACACATCAGCACACACTCCTTCACTTATTATAATACAATCATCTCTAGTAGCTGAATAACTTGTTCCTGTTGAGCAGTCACTCAGAGGAAACATATATTGACAAAGAAAAGGTAATGCTACTTTAGCACAGCTTTTAAAAATAGGACTACCTAAAAGATTATGACACATAGACCAATACAGGTATTGTTTAGAGAAGGGCCTCAGGCTCAGTAGATCTACATATATATCATTTACCAATAAAGCCATTCAGTGTTTTAAGTGTGCTTTCATGTTTCATTTGCTTCTCCTCTGTCACACCAACATGTACACTACTTCCCTCCCTCATAGCAGCACATTCACTCCACTGAGTTAAGAAAGCCTCACAGATAGACCCAGCATATTCATAACAGTTCAATGAAGCATTCACTTTGCTCCACTGCACTGGTATAGTGGAACAATTTATCTCAGGAAATGTTTCGTTGTAAATATCACTGATATTGCTGTTATTGGTTGAATCAAGAATCATGGTTGAACTGATAGAAACAAATATATCCTATAAAATAAAATTTATAAGTCAACAATAATTTAATTGACACACTAGCATTGAATAAATACAAGATATATTTATGCCTAGTTACATTAGAAACTTACCGAAATATAATAAAATATGATTGGGAGAGAAAAAAGAGCTACAGTGACGACCAGCAAGATAGCCAAAACAATATTTTCAAAAGTTCCAGAGTATTTCTTCGAGCAGCACATCTGTACCTACTGAGATCTAGATCTAGCCTATGAAGAAACTCGATTGAGTTTAGAGAATTTGGTGCTAAAGTCTTAAAGTGAGATTTAGGAGTATTATGTAGTGTAGTATGAATTCAGTTTATAAGTTACCGAAACAAACATTTATTATTCATTGTTTTGTTTACCTTGATTAACATTGTTTAGTTTTTAAATAGTTAGTCAAGACAAACAAAAATAATGACATATAGATCTATATTAGCTTAAAAATTCATTGTAATGAAAATAGTAAAACAAGGAAACAGAACTAAAAGATTGCATGTTCTTTCTGTTCTGTTTCCTTATTTTCATTTTAGTCGATTGTTACAATGTTATTATTCTTATTTGTCCAAAAACTTAACAATGTTAATCAAGGTAAACAAAACAATGAATAATATCATAATAGGATTGCTGCAGTGGGGTCAAAATTTCAGTGTCTATTCTCAATAAAATGGTACAAAATATCATTATTCAAAAAATACAGTTTCAATGAAGAATGAATCAAAGATTCGGAGAAAAAGGAAAAAAACAAGGGCAGAATAGTAGAACATTAGAGCATTTTAAAATAGAAAATAACATAAACAACAAATTAAAATCATTAAGTGCAATGTTATTAGCAGCTTCTTGTCAGTGGATTGTCAAGTTGCTCAAAAATTGGGTTCTGACCCCAACTTTTGAGGAACTTGACAATTACCCTATAGTACAGGGGACTTGGGCAAAAATTACAAGGAGATAATCCTTCATTTCAAAATGTTTTTCTGATGCATATACACATTCTTATGTTGCCTAGAAAGTTTGAGTTCATTCTGATCAAAGTTAGTTTTTTGTTAAATTTGTTCTAAAATACAGGGATTTCAACCAAATTTTGTCAAAATAGAAAAGTTAGTAATTTTCCATTTTTATAATTTTACTTAATACACATAGGTGTTTTTATGCTGTGTTTTTAAAGCTGCTCCAAAATCAAACTCAAGTCAAGTCCCTATGCTATAGGCTAGTACATCAAAAATGACTAGGAGAAAATTCACCACTTTTAAAAGTTATTATAATGCACATACCTGTGTAGAAAGTTTGAGTTGATGTTGATTTTGGATTTTTAAAATAAATTTTTGAATTTGCTTTAAATGCCCATGTACTAGAGTATTGTGGTGCTTGTGCTTATCAGCTCATAAAACAAGCTGTTTAGCTCACTTAACATGCTATGTGGAAACCCTAGCTGTTCTGTAATTTACATTAGAGCAGCTGATCATTGCAAAGAGCTTTTTCCACTTGGTAAAAGCCAGGTTCTCTGCTAATTTTTACATTCATATGACCCAGATTGCATTACTTATGTTGAGCATGGTTTTAAAGACTTTTTCATTGCACTCTCTGATGCACATTGATGTCCTTATGCTATGTAGAAAGTTTGAACCAATTCTGACATCAATAATGAGTTTTACAGTATAAGCCAATTTTTTGAAAAGTATCCATAGTTTTTTTTTTAAAATGGCTCAAAAATCAACCTAATTTTTGATTACATTTTTCTGACACATATTTTATTATATGCTGTGTAAAAAGTTTGAGCTGATTTAAACTTAATTTTTTTGCCATTTTAAAACAATTCTGTACTATAGCCCGTGTTTTTTTTTCAAAAAAATGGTTCCAAAATCACCCCAAATTTTTATTACATTTTCTGATACATATTGATGTTCTTATGCTATGTAGAAAATTTAAGCTGATTTTGATTTTGATTTTTAAAGTTACGGCCATTTTAAGAAAGTGTCAAAAATCTGAAAAATACCCAAAGCTATAGCTCATGGATTTTTCTTTAAAATGGCTCCAAAATTACCTCAAATTTTCATTACATTTTCTGATACACATTTATGTCCTTATGCTGTGCAGAAAGTTTGAGCTGATTTTGACTTTAATTTTTCAAGTTACGGCCATTTTAAGAAAGTGCCAAAAATCTGAAAAATACCCAAGGCTATAGCCGATAGTTTTTTCCAAAAAATGGTTCCAAAATTACTCCAAATTTTTATTACATTTTTTGATACATATTGATGTTCTTATGCTATGTAGAAATTTGAGCTGATTTTGATTTTGATTTTTAAAGTTACGGCCATTTTAAGAAAATGTCAAAAATCTGAAAAATACCCAAGGCTATAGCCCATGGTTATTTCTAAAAAATGGCTCCAAAATTACCCCAAATTTTTATTACATTTTTGATACACATTTCTGTTCTTATGCTGTGTAGAAAGTCTGAGCTGATTTTGACTTTAATTTTTCAAGTTACGGCCATTTTAAGAAAGTGCCAAAAATCTGAACAATACCCAAGGCTATAGCCCATAGATTTCTAGGAGAAAACTCACCACTTTCATAGTTATTCTAATACATACATGTGTAGAAAGTTTGAGTTGATTTTGGTTAAAATCGGATTAAAAAATTTTTTTTTGAATTTGCTTTAAATGCCCATGTACTAGAGTATTGTGGTGCTTGTGCTATCAGCTCATAAAACAAGCTGTTTAGCTCACTTAACATGCTATGTGGAAACCCTAGCCGTTCTGTTGGTCCCCCTGGCACTAAACAGAGCCTCAAGAAACTTCACACAATGCTACTCTAGGTGTCCAATGAATTGATCATAGCTAGAGAAACTTAAACTAGAGCAAGTTACTTCAGCATTTCAGGTCAACACATAATGATACTTGATGGTTTCAATTTTAAAGTCATGATCAGTCCTTAATTGTTGCTAGACTAATAATTATTTTTACTGATGGATTATTTTATCACTGCCATTATATTATTTCAGTCATTAGTTAGAACACAAAAAATTTTAAAACATGATAGCATACCCACACAAATTTTTAGTCAGCAAAGTTTTGAATTAAGGAATAACAATTCAAACAGAAATTTCTGTAGTAATTGAATGTGTTATTTTTGAAAAATTATATTTTGAGAAGGACAAAACTTTTCCTCCGATTGCTTTCAATTTTTGCCACTTCACAACAAAGTTAAGAATGCTAAGGGATACAACACCCATTAAAAAGTGTGCAACAGCACCAACGACAGGACTGTATATCTTCTCAAATCCTTTTCTGTCACACTGGCCAGGAACATGACCAAAAGCTTCACATTCAAAGTACAGTGTTAAAGCAGCCCTGAATATATGGGATTTTGCAATAGCATCACTGGTGTATCCTAAAGAGAATGTACTAAACAATGTCACTGAAGTAAAGACTAAGACAATCTTTTTTTCAGCTGTGCTTAGTTGAGGGGTTTTATGGAGCTTGGATTTCTGAAGATAATAATCAATAAATTCATTATTGCACAAAGTGACATACTTTCCTAATATTCCACATTGCTACAATCAGCATAACCACACCAGTACCAACAAAAAGATCAATGGGTAGAATACTTGAATAGAACCACATCTCACTGCTGCTTGTTGTGCAAATACTAGCAGGAAATCTTTGAAGATTATATTGTACTTTGTCCAGTGAAAGACCAATGATAACAGCTGGTAATGGAACCAACATACCTTTCAAAAACCAATACAATATCAATTATAATAATTTATAATAATAGATCACTTACTACAGATAATGACTATAGCAAGTATGTACTTGTCTTGACCTAATTTTTCAATTCTGTTTGCTTGAAAGGGAAACATTACTTTGTGAAAGAATATTGCCACGTGAAAGAACCACCAGAGAATAATGTTTATGATTGAGTAATGAAATAGAGCTCCTATTTTCGAAAAAAACGATGGGCAAGCATAAATTCTACATTCTGTGTAGTAGTCTAGATCTATTTACCTCCATACTGACAAAAAGGAGTTGGATTATTTAATGTTTCCAATAAACTCACTGAACTGCAGTACAACCCATCTCTATTAGAGGTTTGCAAGATAACTATTGATGATATAATGATGATATCAATATCTTGGAAAAAAATCAATATGGAAGGATATTTGAACCTACATGTGAATGAAGAAAACAATGAAACTAATGAACATAGATTGCATGTAACATAAGTGCTCTAGTTGAGTTTGCCTGTAGCTCTAATTATTTAAAAATAAATTCAGCTGTTACTTTTTTACTTCCGCAAGGCATGAACAAATTCATGCATATTAATGTATTCATGCTTATGGCATAGACTAGTGGTAATGTAACTTTTAATTTGAATAATCATGCATAATTTTAGTGGCAGTGATATCTAGTTCTACATTAAATCTATTTGACAAACTCAACCAGTGATACTAGACTATACATGACTAGATATATGTACATTTTCTTGTAGTCCTTGATGAACAAAATTATTGTTGCAATTGACAGTATGAGAGCAATGATGGCAGCAGTCATTTCTGAACCTATCATAATTAGTATTTCAGTATGGGGTGATTGTTCAAATCTGTCACATCTTGGTTCACAGATCAGGTTAGTTTTAACAAAGTCATCTCTGCAAGTGATGTCATCTGTCATGCTCTCATTTATGGAAGTAGAGAGGTTTGTTGATAACATAGGAGCTACTGACATACACAATCATAACAAAAAGATATGTTACTTACCATTAGCTTTAGGTAATTTATCACAGTTAGGCAAATTATAATCGAATCTTAGTCCCAAGTCCCATACATCAGCACACACTCCTTCACTTATCATAAGACAATCATCTCTAGTAGCTGAATAACTTGTTCCTGTTGAGCAGTCGCTCAGAGGAAACATATATTGACAAAGGAAAGGTAACGCCACTTGAGCACAGCTTTCAAAATGAACTAAAATAGCAAGAAATTGATAAGGCCAATATAAATTTTTTATTAAAAAAAATATTCATCATGCCCAATGAGCATAAATTGGGTATTTGTATACATGTATACCGTATAGCAGAAAATTTTGGAGGCAATTAAATTTGGCAAATTTGGCATTTTGATAGCCATTCGCCAAAATAAAATCAGCCATTTTGAGCCATTATATGCATGCTCAATGGCATGTGGCCACATAGATCTATGTGGCCACATAGATCTATGTGGCCACAAATTCGTCATATTAAAATTTGCCAATCACCAAAATTTAGCAATTTGCCAAAATATTAGTCCCTTCAAAATTTCCCTCTATACGATACATGTTTATACATGCTATGCCATGCCATGTTTATATATGCTAGATTTATGCTTATGTATACATTTTATACGTAAGCATAGTCTACAAGCATTATCAGAACAAACAGTCAACAACACCTGCTTAGTGTATTCACTGGTGTATCATACATGTCCCAAAGTTGTAGTCCCCATCCAGGTGTAAAATGCATAATTTGATTAGTTACTATCAAAATTAAGGGTATATTATCTAGTCTAGTCGCATTAAAACAGTTGGTGCATAGATTTAAATGTAGATTTGTGGTATATAAATCTCTATAATTTATATTATTTATAAGTATAATTTACCCATAAAGCCACTCAGGGCATTCAACATCCTTTCATGTTCCATCTGCTTTTCCCCTGTTATGTTAATATCAAATTTTAGATTAATGCTTCCTTCCTTCTGTATCACAGCACATTCATGCCACAGAGCCAAAAAATCCTTACAAACAGATCCAGAATATGCATGGCAGCTTAAAGTTGTATTGTCATTCCCTTTGTTCCACTGGACTGAGAAAGTGGAGCAGTTAGGCGATGCTTCTGTGAAGTTTGATCTATTGCTGCTGTTAATTGTGCTTACTGTAGCAGGAACAAACAATATATATATCCTAAAAAGAACTAAACATTATGGAATTGAACTAAAAATAAATCTACTTGGCTCTATTTATGCAATATAAATGTAAACATCATGATGGCATAGCATAGAATGTCATAGCTCATAGCTGCATGGACTTACCGAAATGTAATACACTATTATTGGAAGAGAGAAAACAGAAGCAGTAATGATTAACAAAAAAATTAAAATGATGTCCTCAATAGTTCCAGAGAAGGACTTCTTAAAGCAATTCATCTCAGCAGAAAAATTGTGCAACTCTTTGTATGGGCAGATTAGATCTATACTGCTGTCAATGTGGGCGTAGGTCAATTTTACTTGTATTGGGGAAACAAAATTTTTTTGCCTCCTTGACTTTTAGAAATCTGATTTTAATTTATTTGAATGAGCAAAACAAAAAAATCAAGCAGCATAAATGATAGCATATATTTGTTCATGTAAAATGACTGGAACAAAAATAAAAAACAAGGTAACAGATTAAGGGATTGTTTACAAAAAGTACATTGTTACACAGAACTCTCTGTAGTAGATCTACTAGAGTTTTGCAGTAAAACTTTTGTGAAATTATTTATTCTGATGGTAAAAGCATTACTTCCTGTAAATTTTATTCGTTGCCATTTTACAACAAAGTTAAGAATGCTAAGACACACAATACCCATTAAAAAGTGTGCAACAGCGCCAACAACTGGATCGTATATCTTCTTAAATCCTTCTCTGTCACACTGGCCAGGAACATGACCAAAAGCTTCACATTCAAAGTACTGTGTTAAAGCAGCCCTGAAAATTTGTGCTTTTGCTATTATACTGCAACTGTAGCCCAGAGAAAACAAACTGAACACTGAAACTGAAGTGAATACTAAAAATATCTTTTTTTCAGCTGTACTCAATTGATCGCTCTTATAAACTTTCGATTTCTAAAAAGTAAAACGTATCTAATTGATCACGTAATTGTTATTTGACTTAGATATTATACCTTTCTAATGTTCCATAATGCTAGTATGAGCATAATAACTCCAATACCCAAGAAAATATCAATTGGCAGGTTAGTTGAATAAAATGACATTTGACTGCTACTTACAACACAGTTGCTGACAGGAAATCGATTAAGATTATATTGTACTTTTTCCAGTGAGAGACCAATGATAACAGCTGGTAATGGAACCAACATACCTTCATGTAACAAGCAAGTATTTTAAACAATGTCTAGATCTGTTTGTCAACTTACTAATGACGATTACTGTAGCAAGTATGTACTTGTTTCGACCTAGCTTCTCAAATCTGTTTGCTTGAAAGGGAAACATTACTTTGTGAAAGAATATTCCCACATGAAACAACCACCAAAGAACCAAGTTTACAATTAAGTACTGAAAAAGAGCACCTTGTAGTGAAAAATAATAAAGCAGTTACTAATACCGTACATGTATTTTATACCTGTATATTGACAGAACAGAGTTGGGTTGTCTAATGTTTCCAACAAACTCACTGAACTGCAGTACAAATAATCTCTACCAGCAGCAGTTATGATGATTATTGATGCTATAGTAATGAGTTCATAAGTAATGTGTCAATAATAGTTATACAATATGTACATGTACCTAATATTATGATGTCAATAACTTGAAAAAATATCAATATTGAAGGATACTTGAACCTAAAAATAATGATAAATCACTGTCAATTTAGAAATGACATGTAGCTTTGATATGTTCTAGACAATTTGTAATTGTGGGACTCTCAACAGCAGCTTACATCATTTTGTGGTCTTTAATGGACAAGATAATTGTTGCAATTGACAGTAAGAGAGCAATGCTAGCAGCAGCAACTTCTGAGCCTATCATTATTAGTGTTTCAGTATGAGATGATTGTTCAAATCTGTCACATCTTGGTTCACAGATCAGGTTAATTTTAACAAAGTCATTTCTGCAAGTGATGTTATTTGCAATGCTTTCATTTGAAGTAGAGAGGTTTGTTGAAAGAGCTACTATGAAAATAAACAATCACAAGATTACTAATTGGTATACTTACCATTAGCTTTAGGTAACTCATCGCAGTTAGGCAAATCATAACCAACTCTTAGTCCCAAGTCCCATACATCAGCACACACTCTTTCACTTATCATAATACAATCATCTCTAGTAGCTGAATAACTTGTTCCTGTTGAGCAGTCACTCAGAGGAAACATATATTGACAAAGAAAAGGTAATGCCACTTGAGCACAGCTTTCAAGATTTAATTGACCTATAATACATATAAAGGTTACTACAGGAATTGTAGAGAGAAGGGCCTCAGTAGATCTATGCATACATGTATGTATATCATTTACCAATAAAGTCATTCAATTTTTTAAGTGTGTTTTCATGTTCCATTTGCTTCTCCTCTGTGACACCAACATGTACACTACTTCCCTCCCTCATAGCAGCACATTCACTCCACTGAGTTAAGAAAGCCTCACAGATGGACCCAGCATATTCATAACAGCTCAATGAAGCATTCACTTTGCTCCACTGCACTGGTATAGTGGAACAATTTCTTTCAGGAAATGTTTCATTGTAATTTGTACCATCGTTACTGTTCACTGTGGCAGGAACAAACATGTCCTAAAGAACATATCACAATACAAATGAGTAATTGAACTTATAGTAGGTCTACAAGCAGTTTTAACTGTGAACAATAAAACAAGCCTAATCCATACAATTAGAGAAACTTACTGAAATATAATATACTATGATTGGGAGAGAGAAAAGACACACAGTGGTGAACAGTAAGAAAACTAAAATGACTTTCTCAACAGCTGCAGAGAAGGACTTCTTAGAGCATTCCATGTTTAACACAGCTTGTTATTACTGAACTCACTCCAAATGTGCGTGTGGATATATAATATGAAGTAATGCACCGCAATATAAGCAGAGAGCACTTGGTTATGTTTACTCTATCCATTTCATGCTTGAACAATCTAAACTTCATATAACTATATAGATGTGATCATAAGGTATGAAGTTTCACGAATAACAGATAATAAAGATAATAACTCATGTGTAAAAAGGAAAGAACAGGAATGAGAGGAAAGGGACCACTACAGTCAATACATTATAAAAGACAACCTTGCTAATTATTATTATTTTTTATTATTAAACTCTTAATATCTCCACATTGTCCTTAAAACAAATTGCAATCCAGTCAGACTGATTGACAGACCACTGTACTTGATTGATCTCTGATTGTGCATTATATGCTAGTATTGGGACGTCAATAGACTGTGGCATCTGCTGTATGTCCCATATTAGGGCTTGATGATCATCACCTTAATATAATAGAAAAATAAAAACAAAAGATTCAAAGCAAATAACGAATAGAGAGCAGGAACAGGAAACTAAAAGCAATACATGCAAACCATATATTTTGATAACTGATACTCATTAATGCATTAACATTGGTGTCCCAAGAATCAAGTAACATGCCCCAGTGAATTAAACAGGCTTACATACCAGCAGTGCATATATGACATGAAGAATGAGGAGCCCATGTAATGCCATTAACTGGTGCCCTGTGGTTACATAGTCTTGCAACTGGTGTACTAGGAGCCCTGATATCCATAATAATCACCTAATGAGATAAAAGAATTGAGATTGTGAATCATTATTCCATGTTATAACTATAAAAATACAATACTGTATGCTAAAAGTGACTATTTTTGTAAAGTTAATGGGTTAGTGGGCACCAAACTATAATTTGTATACATTATTTTGCCTTGTAAACCACATTCACATTCCATATGCAATACAATATATCGATCTATATTCCTCAGTCATACCTCATGGCTGTCCAGTGCAAAGGTTGAGAGGTAGTTAGGATCTTGTCTGTTCCATGATAGCCTCAATAATGGCTGCTGCTTTGGCTCCTCATAAAGTATTGTGGAGTGCTCCAAATTCCTAACAATAAAAGGATATTATCCAATTAGAAAAGTTACAAAGTAATCATTTATATCATTCTTGTCATACCACTAGTGTAATTATCCATAATTATGTAATGTTTATTCTTAGGTGAGTGTTACCTCAGGTCAAAGAGGCGTACTGATCCATCTGATCCAACTGATGCAAAAAGATCCCTACCACTACCAGCACGAGTGAAGGCAATATCATGAACCTATTGTAAAGAGTGCGTGTGATGGTTTATAGAGTAAATAAAGGGGATACTCTAGAGTGTATGAGCTGAGTGTGATAGTTTATAATTACAAGAGTGTATGAACCTATTGTAAGAGTGAATGTGATAGTGTATGAACCTAGTGATAGTCGATAATGTAACACACTCAAAAAGTGCATTGGGTTATCTCATTTCTATTTAGATACTGAAGGAAAACAAGATAACCCAATGCACTTTTTGAATGTATTACAAGTACACAGACTTGCTTCATCTATGTGCTACATTTACATTATGGCATGCAAGTGAGTAGTAATTCTGCTGATCTTTTTAGTATCATATCAGGCTCTGATATTGGGAAGAATTAAATTAAATTTAGGCTTTCTTTACAAACAAGCAGAACTGGATTTAACATTAAACAATAATCATATCAAAAGCACTGACCTCTTTATCATGAGCTATCAATTGAGTTCTAACTGATCCAGTAACTGAGTCACCAACACTACCTATCACCTGACCAGTCTAAGAGGAAAGATAAAGAGAAAGGGAAAGAGGTGGAGGAAAGAAAAGGGGGAAAAGAAGACAAAGAGGCAAAAATAGAAACAGAAAAAGAAGGAAAAATAATTTCTTCAATTGATGCAACATAATATCAAAACATGCAAAAACACTACAATTCTAGTCCATAATAATTTTATTAACAAAAATATGTGACTCAATAATACTAGTATAATAATAAATGTAGTACTAGCAAATACACTAAAAGTAACTTCTGAAACAACTACCTCATGCCAAACAGGTTGACTCAGGTATTTATTACATAACAACATCACATCTATAATTGGTACTAATGGGTTAAACAGGTTTGTATGACTGGTTTAAACTGGTTATTAACTACAATATAACTTATAATAGGAGGATCAGTATATAAAGACCAGCAGTGTTGTCTGACAGAATATCAATCTCTTATATATTTCTCTGTCAGCTCTCTCTTAGTCTCTTTCTCTTCCAATGAGGTCACTAGTTGTGTGTTCAGTGTTGCTCTCAATACTGACACTAGCTGCATCAAGGAATAACAACAACACTGGACTCTCCACCAACAAACAAACCTATGTTGAAGTACTGCATGGTAGAGATGGTCGTGATGGAGTACCAGGAAGAGATGGAGTGAAAGGAGAGAGAGGAGATAAGGGAGAGAAAGGAGAGAAAGGTGAAACTGGACCAGTAGGACAAGCAGGTCCTAAAAGTGGAGGAGTAGTGTACACTCGTTGGGGAAGGAAGTCCTGTCCTACTGGAGCTGAACTACTGTATGAGGGAATAACTGGAGGTGAATGGTATGATCATACAGGAGGAGCAGCTAACTATGTCTGTTTACCAAAGGTCCCTCAATATATGAGTACAACTGTACCACAGTATTCTGCTTACATGTATGGTACTGAATACCAAGATAGTAATAATATATTTTCAGGAAAGTATAATCACAATGTTCCTTGTGCAGTATGTTATACATCTACTAAGAGTGTTAAACTGATGATTCCTGCTAGAACCACGTGTCCTTCATCATGGACTACAGAATATAAAGGATATCTGATGACTGAACGACATATTCACAAGAATAATAAAGCCTATGAGTGTGTTGATGAAAATCCTGAATCTATTGATGGCAGTGAGGGTGATACTAATGGTGCTCTGTTCCACTTCACAAGGTCAACCTGTAATGGTCTACCTTGTCCACCTTATGTTAACAATAGAGCTATTACCTGTGTTGTGTGTACTAAGTGACAATTTCAAACAATGAACAGTGTGTGATACAATTTTTACCTAGGAATTTTAGTAATGAGATGACTATTTCCATTTTATTTAAAATATGAGTAAATAAATTTCTTTTTTTATAATTTTTAAAATCATAATTAGCAAGAATGGCTAAACTTCATACGAAACATGATAAAATTTTAGATACTGACTGGCATAGTAATAGAACTATTGACACTTTAATTTGATGATATCATTGCAGTCTAATAATAGAATTACTCCTGTTAGTTACACAAACTAAAATCATTACGACTGCCTTGTTTTTTATGCCAATACACTTTACTAGTACATACAATTAAGTAGTGTTGAAACGAATAGTGAGATATTCGAATATTCGTTTGTTTATAATTTTTATAGCAATATTCGAATAGTTTTTTTGCTATTCGAATAAAATTATTAATGGTTATTGCAATAATTAATGGCCACGCCCACCGCGTGCTACCTGCACAGATGCTTTCTTCCAAGCTTTCTTTGGGTTTTTAGTCAGTTTCTTGGTTACCAACTTGCTAAATACTGATGCTATAGCCATGGAAGTGGTTCTCAATCTCTAAGAAGCCCTGTTTGGGATTATTTTGATAAGATTAACACCAAAAAGGTAGTTTATAACCATTCAGCAATAATAGTTAAAATATTCAAATATTCGTTCGTTTAGCATACCAATTATTCGAATAGTGAAAAATACTATTCGTTTCATCACTACAATTAAGTACTAACCTCTAGTCCCCATATAGTACAGGTAGTATCAATACTAGATGCTCCCAGTATATTAGGATCAGTTTCATTCCAATCAAATGATGTCAAAGGAGCACAAAACTCTGAATTCTTACTCTGTGAAATATAAACAATTAAAAATAATTATTAAACAGAGAAAGAAAGAGAATGAGAGTAAGTATAATGGATATTAATACTTACATTATTTAGCATACATTCCTGTCTAACATCAGATCCATTGATCCTCCATAGACGAAGGTAATCACCAGAAGTAGCAACAAGATCAGGCAACTGACCAACCTAAACATAATAAATAAATAAATAAACAAATAAAATAAAATAAATAAATAATGGTATTTTCTCGTCCCTCTCTCTCTCTCTCTCCGTTCATTACATATACCATGTCAGGTATCCACATTATCTTAGTTGTAGGGTAAGGATGATCAAAAGTTGCTGTATGGCTGAAATTACCAGTCTCTTCATTCAATTGTACTATCTGAACCTATTGATACATCAAATATAAGAATATAATTGTTCACAATCAGTTACTAATATAGTGCTAAGTAAATCAAAAATACAACACAAACTGAATTCTGTTGTCTTTGGTCAAGGCACAGAAATACATTCATACATGTACATGTATGAATTAGAATTGTAGGTAATAGAATTGAAAAATCACTTGCAAGTGCTAATGTAGCATTGTCACAAATTAATAGCTAATGTAAAAGCCCGGCAATACCTTGTTACAATAGTCTTCAATGAAGCTACCAATGGCCAGTCTGAATCTCTTGTCTGGTTTAAAACTCCAGTTCATACCATATACAACCCACGGGGCAGTATATCTGTATATCTCCTTTCTTTTCATGGGGTCAGGCTTTCCTGGAAGACTAGTAGTACCGCTTGTAGTGGTAGCCATTTTTAGTTGGTATTAAAATGGGCGGAGAAAATATTAATAACCACACCCACTACAACCTATCATGAATATTCATGAGATAATTGCAATAAAGCACTTAACACAATAAAATGATTTTAATAAGTAAAAATTTAAACTCACACACACACACACACAATAATGCATTATCAATTTTCTTCATTTTCTGGCTGTACTTCACTGAAGCTACTAGTGACTGTGGTGTTTCTGTTCCTGTATACATCTAGTGTATTGTGACTTGGTTCATCACCAGTTTGCCCTTTTACCGGTGTATATTCATCTGGTACTAGTGAGCCATAGTAATTAATTCGCTCAAATCGATTCTCTTGGTCAACATTGGCCATGAAAGTACAAAAATTAAAATCTTCCAGATCACGGTTGTCACTTGCATTAAATTTCTGGTTTATAAATGAGAACACAACAAAATGTGTTAGAAAGTGGACTGTTAATACTCTCAAGGTAATAATTGTAGAGTATGATTACATTGATGCAAGATTTAGGAAACAAGTATGCCATTTAGGACATGTACCAAAACGGGTGCAACTGGTGTTCTAGGAGCCCTGATATGCATAACAATCACTTAATAAGATAAAAGAATTGAGATTGTGAATCATTATATACAATACTGTTTGCTAAAAGTGACTATTTTTGTAAAGTTAATGGGTCAGTGGGCACCAAACTATAATTCGTATACATTATTTTGCCTGTAAACCACATTCACATTCCATATGCAATACAATATATTGATCTATATTC